TATATATATATATATTATAAGCAATAGAATTAAGTATTAAAGGTAGAGTCCTTTGAAGATGCATAATGGCAGCCTTGGTAAACAAACTAGGACGACACCCAGGCTACAAAGTTTTATGTACATTATATTTCACTTCTATTTATATTTCAGTCCATACCATGGTATGGATGAAATATATTGTGTTCTCTCATGTTTCTCCTCCTTCTCCTGCCAAACAGTCAAAGGGATTCAACTCCGCCATCATTCAGCCAAATGACTTGAAATTTGGCATGTAGGTAGAGTGGGCCAATACCCCCAGGCAGTTTTTTCATTTTTTTAATACATGCCTTTGAAAAATTTTAAAGAAGGTTTTTTGGGGCATTTTTCGCCAAAAATGGATTTTTGGATCCTGAGCCCTAGTTTTACAACCAAATGATGTGAAATTCGGTATAAGGGTACCTTGAACATGTGTCTACAGAATAGCAGTCACATATTTGGCATACACCACTTCCAAATGACTCATTTGGGGGACTTTAATGGCTATTTTCAGCAAAAAAAAGGGCCAAAAGTGCTATACCCGTTCCATGTTCTATCTAAAGAATGGCCTGTTCCATCTGCCATTGGCCAATATTGGAACACGTGTTCCATTGCGGGTTACCTGAGGTCACATTGCACGTAAGTCGTGCGTAATGACCCACACATTCAATTTTATGTGCCTAAGACCTTCAAAATGTATCAAATCTCATCATTGTTAGTATTTGCATACCTGTAAAGATTAGTAAAGCTTTCGAGATTCAATGTGCTTGTTCTTGCATCTTTGTTCTCAATTACATGGCTACTATATACATTTGTAATTCATTTATTTGAGAATCTTTGCCAGTTTTACACTGGGGTAAGTTTGGAATAGTCCACTTTTGCGTGGGAGGGAGATGGACTAAAATATGCTGTATTTGTTCCCAAGCAAATGTCAGCCTTTCTAGTTTTTTGCTGTTTTTATAACGAGTAAAAGACTTGTTGGTTGTTACTCTGTACTCTCTCTCTCTCTCTCTATCTATCTGGTTTATCATATCAAGTTTATAATCTTTATCCCTTTCATTCAATTTGTGTCCCAAGATTTGTCATCCCTTAGTATCTTTCAAATCTACACATCTTGTTTTTTGGCCCTAGCTTCTTGCATTAGATTTAGTCTGGTGGCAGAGACCGATAAGCGTGCAATGCGGTCCATACAAAGTTTTTTTGTTGTTTCTATATCTTTGAGGTGTGCTCTTCCAGAATCTGAATGATGCCACTCTGTCATCCTTGGGCAATTCGCACAATATGCAAATTAAGGTGGCCATTACTGAAAATCAGTTTTTCGTCAATATCTCAGTAACTACTCATGGTATCAAAATAATTTTGGTGTCTATCCCCATCTTTTGAGGGATAATGAATTAAATCTAGCCATTTCAGTAAAGTTAGAACCACTATTTTTTGCTAAATATGCAAATTTGGGCCGCGCAATATGCAAATTAGGGCGGCCATTACTGAAAATCAGTTTTTCGTCAATATCTCAGTAACTACTCATGGTATCAGAATAATTTTGGTGTCTATCCCCATGTTTTGAGGGAAAACGAATGGAATTAAGCCATTTCAGTAAAGATCAAACCAGTTTTTTTGTGCTGAAATATGCAAATTAAAGCCGCACAATAGGCAAATCAAGGTGGCCATTACTGAAAATCTGTTTTCCGTCAATATCTCAGTAACTACATATGGTATTATAATATCTTTGGTGTCTTTCCCCATGTTTTTTTTGCAATAACTATTGAGCATAAGGCCATTTCAGTGGAGATCAAATAGATATTTTTTGTGCTTAATTTGCAAATTTAGGCCGCCATTACTGAAAGTCTGTTTTTCGTCAATATCTCAATAAATCTCATGGTATCAACAATAATTTTGATACAATACACATACATTTGTACTATACACATGTTTTGAAGGCTAGATAATCAGAATAAACCATCCCAGTATTAATCACACCAACATTTAATGCAAATTATGCAAAAACTAACCAGTATATAGCATGGGCGCCTGTACCTCTGAACACTGATAGGAATGTTAATAAATGATACAATCTGTTTAAAAAAATATTAGACCCTTCATAAGCCCACACCTGTGCCTTACCAGCGTCTGTGTACAGGCAGAATAAAGCGCTAACTTGACGTCCTGAATTTTATGTCAGCGTGGCCCGTGTAGAATTTAAGTCAGAGTTGAATTCTTCTTGATTCCCGGACAGGCCAAAATAGCCCGGTAGCCGCGGGGTGTCCCACGCCTGAAAGTGTCAAAAACAGCCCGGGAACTACCCGCCAGTGACTTTTTTTTTACAATTGGGACCAAAGCTTAACAGATCTCCAAAAAGATGACCGGCGGCCGCTCAAAAGTGCACAGTCCTAATTAAGGCAAAGGATGGGACCCTACCACTGTCTTAGGGGAGGACAAGCTTGCCAGGTGGGCAGAATACTTTTCAAAAAGTCTTAAACCGCTCAAGCCCTACCTCAGTAGCATTAGTCTTTGATGAACACCTACACCCATTACCTGTTGAGATCGAGGACATCTCCGAAGCTGAAGTCAGTCACCAGGCATGAATGGCATCACTTCAGAGATGCTTAAAGCCGAGGGTGACTGTGTTGTGAGATGGATGCTTTTCTGATCGCCGTACATCGCAAACGCTTTAATAGAACCATAACCATCTTCCCTAGTACGCCTTCCTTGGAATAAAGCAGGCATTCAACGGCGATCACAGGGAAGTGCTGGAGGACTGGAAGAACGGATCAGAAGTTAAGCTGGAGTCACATTTGAAACGGGACCTGCTCGGCATGTTCTCGGTGTAGACGCCGGCCGGCGTCATGAAGCCGAGCGTACGCCGGCTGTCAGGGTCACAATTGAATTTTCCTTTACGGCTCCCTGTCGGGGCGCTGAGGCGGCTTCTATGTAAAATTCACAAAATTTTTGTCCCCTTGACGACCGGTTTCTGTTAGGGACCCGTCCGGTGCCCAGTCAGTCTTCTGTCAGACCTGTGCGTGATGCGATAGGGTGCCGACTAGCTCTTGCATTCCGGCCGGGCAGCTACAGGGTCCCTGGCGGGGTCAAGGGGCGATCCTGGCAGGTCCCAGGCTGGTACGCCTGTGGCTGGTATGGTGGGTTCGGCCCTGCTGGTTGATGCGCAGACCAGTGTATGGTCACTATGACTGACTGATGATGTAGCTATGTCGAGAACAGCACAGTACCCTCTATATTGTCTATAACTACCTTCTTCTGAACAATTCTAGCACAGAACAACACACGTGACTTCATAATCTTGGACAGGTGTCTGTGCGTGACCCGGCGGCTAGGTTACGGTTTGGTCCGGTGAGGTTACGGGGTCGCTTCGGCGTACCTTGCCCGCCGGGGCCTGAAGTGATTTTAAGTTTGAGTCAAATCAATTTGGCGACGTCGCGGGGCCAAAAAATAGGCCGGCAGCCGTCGGGAACCCCGCCTATTGCCTTCCAGGTCCCGTTCCGAATTCGGTAGTGCCAAAACACAGGCTGAAAACGCGCCGAGCGGGCCCCTTTCTTGAATTGTGACATAGGCTTAAAGTGTGCATTCCAAAGAAGGGAAACCTGAATGAATGTGATAACTTAAGGGGAGTGACAATTCTTTTTTATACCAGTGAAGGTGTATGCCAAATGCCTCCTGAACCGCATGAGAGATGCAGTAGGCAAGGTCCTCTGGGAGCTGCGAGAAACAAGCTAGCTTTCGCTCAAAGAGATCCTGTGCTGAGCAGATCTTCACCCTGCGGTGGAGGAAATGTGCTGAACTGCAAACCCCTTTAGCTATCGGATTCATTGATTTCTGCAAGGCGTTTGATAGCATCTAAAGTCCCTCTTTATCATGTACAGTTATGGGCTGCCAAGTAAACTTATGTATACAGTTAAACAGATATACTGAAACTCGAAGTGTTGTGTACGGACGGTTGAAGGAATCTAGATACAGCGGGTGGTTTGAAGACGGATCCTCCAAGGTTGTGTCCTGTCACAGATCCTCTTTCCCGTGGCTATCGACTGGGTACTTGGGAAGCAACAGGAGAAAAGGGGGGTAAAGGGGGTTCCAGAGAAAAAGTTTGCCGACCTTGACTTTGCAGACGACATTGCGACATAGCGGAAAACACCAGAGATCTCCAACCCCCAGTGACCAACATAGTCCGTCTGCAGACAGCATTGGGCTCAGCATCAGGGCCAAAAGCAATTAACATGCTGATAGGGACACACGCTCCTCTTAGAAGTGTGACCATTGACGAGAACAAATTGAAAGTGGCGGAGAACTTCACCTACCTAGGGAGCTCCATCAACAACAAAGGACAGATGGACAATGAGCTAGACTGTAGACTTGGAATGGCCTCAGCAGCCTTCAACCAGCTTGGCTTTGAAACCTACTATGTGGAAATCAGCCAAGAAAAGAGACTGGAATCACTGCATGCTTCTGATAGTGAATGCGTGAGGAAGATCTTAAGCATCAGACGACAGGACTTCATACCCAACACAGATATATGAGCCAGAGCTAACCAACAGCCAGTGTCTACAATCATACGCAAGCGGCGTTTCATGCTAGAAGACGTCTGCCATCTAGACTTAAGTAAACTTAGAATTGTCTTTCAATATTGAACAGGTTTTGGGTCAGATAAACTATACCAAGGCATGTGCGTTTGCATGGAACATGGGTCGGAATTAGGACCCCTCCTTGCTGGCAGCCAGGTGCGTCGATAACAGACAAGGCCCAAATTTGCATATGTAGCAAAAAATAATGGTTCTATCTTTACTGAAATGGCTTAATTTAATTCGTTATCCCTCAAAACATGGGGATAGACACCAAAATTATTCTGATACCATGAGTAGTTACTGAGATATTGACGAAAAACAGATTTTCAGTAATGGCCGCCCTTATTTGCATATTGCGCGGCCCAAATTTGCATATTTAGCAAAAAATAGTGATTCTAACTTTACTGAAATGGCTAGATTTAATTCGTTATCCCTCAAAAGATGGGGATAGACACCAAAATTATTTTGATACCATGAGTAGTTACTGAGATATTGACGAAAACTGGATTTTCAGTAATGGCCACCTTAATTTGCATATTGTGCGAATTGCCCAAGGATGACAGAGTGGCATCATTCAGATTCTGAAAGAGCACACCTCAGAGATATAGAAACAACAAAAAAACTTTGTATGGACCGCATTGCAAGGTTCTCCAAAAATCAGGGGTTTGGCAACCGGACTAATTTAGGGTCTCCAGCGGATGCCATCCATGAAAATGACTTGGTGTGGCCTTACCTGTGTTTCCAGGTGTGACCCTGGTGATCTCCCCTCTGGTGTCCCTGATGGAGGACCAGCTGATAGCGTTACAGAACCTGGGGATCCCGGCAGCCATCCTCACAGCTAACACCAGCCGAGCTGAGGTCACACAGGTCCTCAACAGTCTGGTCGACAAGTCAGTACTCTCAACTACTAGTAAAATTGTACTTGCGTCTTTATTTACTCTTACTGTTACCTCACAAACCTTACTTAAGTCATTTTTCATCTTACGTTCAGGACCGGAACTTTGCCTGGAACTGTGCCTGATTCTGTAAAAAAATGCACCATCTAAAATTAGAATGTGGATTTTGAGGCAAAAAAATAAACGCATGTTTATGTTTATTTGTGAGGCGAGAGTACTGTGTCTTCAGTTTTAGTCTGGGACAATCTGTATCTGTATGGTTGGTATAACTGCTTGGCATAACACACCAGCTACCTGTATCTGTATCTGTATATATACAGATACAGATACAGGTATATAGCAGTTATAACTGCCCTTCAGCATAAAACACCAGCTTCACAATGTACAAGCAGTATACGTACGCGTGTGAGCATGTCGGCAGAATGTACTGCAACTGTGCAAAACTTTTCACAGATTTTGTTGAATGTTTGGTCAACATTGCATCAGAATTTTGCCTGTTGCAGAAACAACGTTTGAAACCTATAGATCACCCTTAAACATGCAAACACTGCCTTAAACGAGATGTTCTGAAGAAGTGCTATGTAACTTGTGCAACATGGATATGTCTTGATTCTACAGGAAGTCAGACTTGAAGCTGCTGTATGTGACTCCTGAGAAGGTGGCTAAGAGTAAGCGGTTCATGGCAAAGGTAGAGAAGATGCACGCTGTGGGCAGGTTTGCACGACTGGTCATTGATGAGATCCACTGCTGCAGCCAATGGGGACACGACTTCAGACCAGGTGAGATCGATATGGCAGCTTCTTTCCACACACACACACCATGGACAGTTATCCAGAGAGCACAGCTGTCTATGGTCAAGGACCACTTGATCAGGAATCTGACATTCCCTCCCCAATAACATTTAGGCATGGGTTTATTCAAACAGATCACACAGAGAGAAGAAATTATCAGTCCTTTAACCCAAAAAAGGTCAAAGAAGTCCTAGGAGTAACAACTTCAGATCAGACGTAAAATCCAGTCTCTGATGGAGGATAGAGTGAAGTGGAGTGGAGGATGGTTTTAAGTTTGGTTCTAGCAGGAACTCTACCAAAGTAAAGTAAGTAAGTATGTCATTACAAAATTTATATTGCTGGGGAAGAATGGCTGATTCCTCCTATATGTATATTTGGTATATTGCTCCACACCTCCTCCACCCATCCTGTAATTTCACTACGTGCATGTGTTTATAAAATAGGGAAATCTTTTTTTCTTATAATTGTAATGGAGATTGCTAGCTCCACCACATGCAATAATATATCATTCAGTCATCACCTTAGCAATGATTTTTATTGCCTGCTTTGTTACTAATGTTAGAACTTTTCTGTGTGCTTTACGGTAAATTATGATAATTTTGCTGTGTGTGATTTGACATTAGACTACAAGACTCTGGGTGTCCTGAAGCGTCAGTACCCCAATGTTCCCATCTTGGGCCTGACTGCCACTGCTACTTCATACGTCATCGAAGATGTGAAGGCTATACTCAGCATGCCCAGCTGTCTGCTGTTCAGGGCTTCATTTAACAGGCGCAACCTTTACTATGAGGTGAGTTTTAGTGCTGTAGCAGACATGCTGTTGTGTTGGGGTACATTATGTAACAAGTGGTAGTTGGGTTACATTTAATTTACTACGTAGTATGTAGCAAGTGGCAGTAGGGTTACTAGTATGTAGCAAGTGGCAGTTGGGTTACATTATGTAGCAAGTGGCAGTAGGGTTACTAGTATGTAGCAAGTGGCAGTTGGGTTACATTATGTAGCAAGTGGCAGTAGGGTTACCAGTATGTAGCAAGTGGCAGTTGGGTTACATTATGTAGCAAGTCACAGTTGGGTTACATTATGTAGCAAGTCACAGTTGGGTTACATTATGTACATGTAGCAAGTGGCAGTTGGGTTACATTATGTAGCAAGTGGCAGTTGGATAACATTATGTAGCAAGTGGCAGTTGGATTACATTATGTAGCACGTGGCAGTTGGGTTACATTTTGTAGCAAGTGGCAGTTGGGTTACATTATGTAGCAAGTCACAGTTGGGTTACATTTTGTAGCAAGTGGCAGTCGGGTTACATTATGTAGCAAGTGGCAGTCGGGTTACATTATGTAGCAAGTGGCAGTTGGGTTACATTATGTAGCAAGTGGTAGTTGGGTTACATTATGTAGCAAGTGGCAGTTGGGTTACATTATGTAGCAAGTGGCAGTTGGGTTACATTATGTACATGTAGCAAGTGGCAGGACAGATCTAGATTTGGAGCGGTAGCTATATTCATGTACATTGTATATATCCTTTGTCACTTTTTTACCTTTCGTCCAAGAAGGTTATGTTTTCTAGTAGCGTTTGTCTGTGTGTGGTGGGTGGTGTATGTGTGTGTGTGTGTGTGTGTGTGTGTGGTTTAGCAAGATAACTCGAGAAGCAGTGGATGGATTGGAATGAAACTTGGTAGGTGGGTAGGTCTTCATGAGACCTAGAAATGATTAGATTTTGGGCCCCCTGGCGGCTTTCCTAGGTACTGCAGCTGAACTTCCGGTTTTGATATTTCATGTTCTGGACATGCTAGGGTCACGAATTTTTTTTGGTAGATAGCTCTTGAGATAGGAAAGAAGTGACATGAGTTTGGGTCCCCTAGCGCCTTGTTCTGGAACTGCAGGAGCATTTGTTGAAAAAAATTTGAAGGACGATAACTCAAGAACCGGTTGACGTATTGTCGTGATTTTTGGTATGTAGGTAGTTGAAGTGATGCTTGACATAATTAGATGGCAATTATGCAAATCAGGAGCTAATTAATGAGGAAATTCTATAAATCTGCTTTGTTCGATAATAGAACTATGAAACACTTGTGGCATCTACTTGAGAACGAGAAAAACATCTGAGGATATAGATTATGTAAATGAGGACCTAATTTGCATAATTAATGGAAAATCCTCATAATTCCATAGTTGTAACTGCTGCACCCCGAATCTATACTTGCCACATTTAGAAGTTAAGTGAAGGTGAACATCAATAAACATAATTTATTCAAATCATGACCTAATTTGCATAATTTATGTGGAAGTGCTATAATAGCCTTTTTGTTAAGAGAAGGCTGTCATTGGGTGAAAAATATGATCAACTGATATAATCCATGCAAATGAGGCTCTTATTTACAAAATCAATGATTAAAATTGTATAAATCATCACCCGCAAGGGTTAACATTATTTGGTGAAGGTATGAGATCGTGGAACTCTTGTTTGGTTTGTTTTCCAGGTGCTTAGGAAACCATCTTCCCATGAAAATGTAATGGAGAAATTAGTTCAAGTAATCAACGACCGCTTCAAAGGACAGTCAGGTGAGGACATCTCTAACTGAAGCTAGATACTCTGTCACCTGACTCAAGTTGTGTGCAGTGCCTTTTCCAGGGACAAAACATTGGGGCCTGCCAGGGATTTGAACCACAAAACTTCAGAGTCAACAATCCTACCCACAAAACTTTGCAGACTTTTTCTTTTGCATTTTTCTGTACAAACATTTTCGCAGCTGTTCTACATGATCATCAGACCTCGAAATTAACTTTTCTTCCTATTGACCCAGCACTGTCCCAAAAATAAATTTCAATTGTCCCAAAGTGAGGATGAACTGTCCCAATAGCAACCTGTTTTTTTGAAAGTATTTTATGGCTTAGTTGAAGTCAACTTTATTTTGCTTACATTCTGACACCAAGGCATGCAATAATTGCAGAGTAGACAGAAAATTTGGGGGGTTTCCCGGAACCCAAATTATAAAGCGGGGACGTGTTAAGGATAAACAAAAAAAGGGCTGACTTTCTGATGTTCCCGAAAATGTCCCAAAGTGTCTTTTTAGTTGTCTTGGCCTAAATTTTAGTGGTCAGTGGCAATCGGGACACTGTTAATTTCGAGCCCTAATCCTTCCCCAGGAATCATCTACGTGTTCTCCAGACGAGAGGCAGAGCAGGTAGCGGGGGACCTGTTGAAGAGAGGTGTCCAGGCGGGGTACTACCACGCTGACCTGGACGCCAAGTACCGCAGTCTGATCCACAGGAAATGGCTGGCCAACACAATTCAGGTCTGGACATGAGATGTTCTTTTATACAACCAGTAAAGACTTGCACTTTGCTTATGTTTTGGTCTATCATGATCAGACATCTTTCACAGAGCATCTGACTGGAGTACTGCTTCTCACTGCCATATGTAGCCAGTGTAGGTGGCGCTTTAAGTTTTGTACTATATATCATTGGTTTATTATAGTCAGAAGTCTTTGTAGTGCTTTATGATAAGACATCATTTTCTTTTTCTCTGTGCTCTGGTTCTCAGGAAGGTAAAGATACAGTGACATTGAATTTATCATCTTGAGTTGTCCTCTATAGTACATAAATATAGAAATATAAATGCTTGTATGCAGTATTTCACAGAAAGTAGCACATGCAAAATGAACCTGTATGCCTTTGGTAATTATGATTTGTCTCCATGTAGGTTGTTGTTGCCACAATAGCATTTGGCATGGGGATAGACAAACCTGATGTACGTTTTGTCATCCACCACTCCATCAGCAAGTCCATGGAGAACTTCTACCAGGAGAGTGGGAGGGCAGGTAAGGTACATTTGTACATTTAGAATGAGAAATCAGGAAAGAATGGAAAAAAAGTTGTTTTGGCTCTGTTTCTTCTTCACGTAAACACGAAACATGTAAGGTCAATAACCTGGACCAGAGCTCTGTCACCATGGTAACTGATGCTGTAGCAGACATCATTTGTTGTGTTGAATTACATTATTATGTAGCAAGACAGAGTTGGAGGGGCTGGTTACTACATTGTACATACATGTACATGTACATCATGGGTGTGTTTGAGTAAGAATAAACAGAGCAGTATTTGTTGGGCTAGACCACTTGAAGGTAAACATTATGCATTTTCCTTTGTTTGAAAATGTTACCTTAAAGTTTCTTTAGTCAACATTTACATCATCAACAGATTTTTAACTGTTAAGGCCATTCCAATTTGATTTGTTTGTTTTGTTTTTTTGTTTGTTTTTTTCCAAAAAAAAATCTGAAGCGACAGGGAAAAAAAACAGGCCTAAGCATCCTGTGATAGCCACAAAATCTACAATTATAGGAGATATGAAGTCCAACATATCATGCCGGTTTACAATTCAAACAATGAATTTTAAAATTTTTGTCAAACCAATGCATTGATAGATGGAAAAACTGTAACAAGTAGGAAGACAGGAGTGTTAATTTCTTCAAGCGTTGCTTTGGGGCAAAATATGAGCATTTTGGAGTTGATTCAGAACCTGAATTTTTTTTTTTTGCAACTGCAGGCAGGGATGACCAGCCAGCCTACTGTATCCTGTACTACGGTTTCCAGGACATCTTCAGACAGAGCACCATGGTCATGACAGAACAAACAGGACAGCAGAAGCTGTATGGAATGGTGAAATACTGTCATGACATCAACAGGTATTTATCACATACATGTACTAGTATTACCGGTGTTGAAAGGTCTTGAAACAATTAATGTTTTTATTAAAAAAAGCTGGCCAGGGGCAAAGATGGAATTTAGCTGGTTGGGTGGTGTGAGTGTGATGATGATGATGTGTGACTCAAATAATTGGTCACCTTGGTGACTTGAACTACATGTAGACTAGTGCTAAAAATAATGAGACTGAACTTAGATAATAATGTATTACATGTATATGCTTTTTCTAACAGAGACTCACTCACTCACTATCCTGGCTTAGATTTTTCTGCTGCCGGTTTCCCTGTCCCAGGGGTGGGCAGCAGTCGGCTGTTCTGCACACCTCGCCTCCAGCTGGCTCTGTCCTGTGGGTCTGTGCTGGACAGACCACACTCCTTTATATCCTTCCGGATGCACTCTAACCAAGTTTTTCTCGGCCTGCCACGGCCTCTGTTGCCTGGCAACTGCAAGTCTGCGATGGTATTGATGCAGCCACTTGCTCTTTTAACGTGCCCGTACCATCGGAGGCGGCGTGATCGCAGTACTGAGGAGATGTCTTCCACACCTAACTTGGCAAGCAGGTTAGCTGAGGGGGTCTTGTCCTGGGCCTTGACACCACAGATCCACCTAATCATGGACCTGTCGTTTCGGCGCAGACGCTGAAGTGCCGATGCAGTAGGTGCCCATGTCTCACTCCCGTGGAGCAAGGCCGATCGTACACATGTGCTGAACACCTTGCCACGGGTTTTGAGGGATAGGTGTCTAGAAGTTAGGATCGGCAGCAGCTTCTTAAACTTTCCCCAGGCCACGCAGCATCTGGTGGTGGCAGCAAGCTCACAACCACCACCCGCACCGAGCATGTCCCCAAGGTAACAGAAGCTGGGTTCCACATCCAGCACCACCTCATCCACCGTGACTTGTGTTACAGGGCGAGCATCCAGTGGTCTTGCCTCACCACGACACCTAGGGCATACGTAGTTCCGCACAGCAGACAGACTACCTCTAATGCCGCAACACTTCTTGTGAACCCAGAAATCACATTCAGTACAGAGGATGGAGTTCACACCAACACCTGAACGGCACACAGCGCACGGGAAGGAGCCAGTGTCTCTCAGTATGTTCAGACCTTGACCTGAAATCATGATCTTAGTCTTCTTCATGTTGACCCGGAGACCCTTGCTTTCCATGTTCAGCTTCCAGGCCTTCAACCTAGCAATGCATTCCTCCAGGGAGTCTGCGATGACTACTAGATCATCAGCGTAGAGGAGCTCCCAGGGCAGACCAGTGCGGAATTCACGAGACAGGGCTTCCAGAACAAGGATGAAAAGCAGGGGGCTAAGGACAGATCCCTGATGGACGCCCACTCCAACTCCAAACTCCTCGCTGTACTGTCCGTTAACCCGCACACGGCTCCTGGCGTTAGAATACATGGCCTGGATCACCTTCACCGCCCACTCCTCCACGCCAAGGCTTCTCAGTGCCCACCACAGCACCTCTCTGGGAACACGGTCGAAAGCCTTCTCCAGATCAACGAAGGCAAAATACAGAGGCAAAATACAGATGCTTTTTCTAACAGAGAAGATTCTGTATTTTGTAGTTGTGTGGTTCATCAGTGGTTGCGTGTGGTAACTGTCACTTCTTGTTTCATCTGGCCAGTTTTTCCCTCCTGGTATCTGCTTGGTTTCATTCAAAAGGATGTATCTGACACCCAACCATTGACTTTCAGCACAATGCTTGCAGCCTTGTGGCCCTGACAAAAAAAAAGTAAAATGTACTTCTTTTAAAGCATGACTTCGGTAACTGGAACTTATGTGTCCAGAGTATATGTTATAGATTTTACAGGATTATATGTCATGTTATCTGGCTCTAGGTGTCGGCGGGCCATCATTGCTGACCACTTTGATGAAGGCTGGGACTCCACAAAATGTGGTGGCATGTGTGATGTCTGTGACCCTACTTTAGGTATGCAACAAACAAGCAACTAAGTTATTACAGCTATCTTACATACCAGTTGTAACATGAACACTTTTGTCCAAGACATTGTTACCAACCCAGTTACTTTTATGGGGGCCCGCATGCCCTTTTTTGCAGAGCGTAATTGGCCATTATAATTCTATGTAGAGCATAGACGGACCGCTCTTATTCAACGAAGAGCTTAATTGGTGCATTTTGCGTAGAACGTAATTCGCCATTTTGATTTTATGTAATGTGTTGTAGCTACCCGGAATTTATCTTAAAAACGTATTAGGGAGACTTCCTGAATTCAGCATAATACGATGTAGCCGGCTCTCAAAATTTAACATAGAGCACCTCGCAGTTTAGATTTGTTAACTCCATGAAAAATGGAGGTATTGTTTTTGGTGTGTCTGTCTATATGTCTGTCTGTCTGTCTGTCTGTGTGTGTGTCTGTCTGTCTGTGTGTGTTTCCGCAACTTTGTGGTCAGCATAACTTCAGAGCGCCTTTATGGATTATGATGATATTTGGTATGTTGGTAAGTCTTAGGAAGACAAACGTCAAGGTCAAATATGGGCCTCCTGGTGGATGACCTTGGTACTGCAGCAGAACTTTCGGTTTTTGTATCTTTTGTCCTGAACATGCTATGGTCTTGATGTTTTGGTGACAGATAGCTTTTCCTGTCAGGAATAAGTGGTGTGAGTTTGGTCCCCCTAGCAGCTTGTTCTGGAACTGCAGGGCACTTTCTGGCGAAATGTTTAAAGGCCAATAAGTCCAGATAGGAACAACGTATTTTCATAATTTTTGGTGTGTAGGTAGCTGAGAGAGAGATGTACATGATTAAATGTAAATTATGCAAATGAGGACTTTATTTGCATAATTAATGAGGAAATTCTATGATTACAGTGTTTTACATTATACTACTTTCATAGATGTAATGTATGTAACCTATGGCAGGCAGAACATCAACAGATACTAATTATGCAAATGATGACCTAATTTGCATAATTTATGCAAAAATTATATGATTTCTTAATGGTGAATAATGGGAATGTCATACTTTTGACATCTGTAAGTTAATCAAAAGTTAACATACATCACGATGCATATATCATGTTAATGCAGAGGTAATTTGCATAATTAAGGAGGAAATTTACATTTACATATCAAGCCCAAATTTCATGGAAGTATGAAGTCTCGGAATTCTTGTTATCTCTGTTCTTAAGCTTTTTTCAAATGTTAATGAATTGAATGATTTACCAAGCCTATTTTTTGCAGTCACCATAACAGAAGAAGTAGACATCACCAATCTCTGCCAAGAGGTCATCACAGTCATCCAATCAGCAAAGGCGAAAGAAGAGCGTCTGACCGGGCTGAAGGTAGCCGACAGCTGGTTGGGTAGAGGGGACAAGCGGAGGAAAAACCACCCCCCGTGGCTGAGTCGTGAGATAGGGGAGAGAGTCATCACACACATGCTCCTGGAGGGTTACCTGAGAGAAGACTACCACTTCACACCTTACAGCACCATCAGTTATCTCATTCCAGGTACTTTTTAGAAAAGATTAACTGATACATGTATGAGTCTGCTTCCTGCAACTAGTTATAGGTTCATAATTATATACAACATGTATTAGTCATTATTTCTAGAATCAACAGGATTTTTCTGAAATTACCGGGTATATATACAAGGTGTGGAAAAGTCCATACATTGTATGTATTGGGTGGTTGGGTGTCAGATACATTACATAGCCACTATTATGAATTAAAACCAAGCAGATGTTGAGAGGGAAAGACTGGCTGAATGAAACAATAAGTGACACAATTTTTGATTGCACGTAACTGCTAATAAACTATGATAGTTATTACACTTTTTTCTGTTGGAAAGAGCTTATGATACATTATGAGTCCAATTCATGTCACCAAGATGAACTGTGAATTATTTGAGTCACACATCGTCATCACACTTTCACCACCCATAGCTATTCCCATCTTAGTTCCTGGTCAACTTTAAAAACAAAAGGATTTTTTTGTTATGTTTGCCGAAGGAAAACATTGTTTTTGCTATGTTTCCTCTTCTTCTCCAAACAAATAAGGTCAGTGACCTGAACCAGACGTCTGTCACCATGGTAATTATTTTTAATGTATTGTTTTATTTCTTTAGGACCCAAGAGCCACATGCTGATGAGTGGGGGTGTTCAGGTGGCACTCTGTATTCCAAACAAGAGGAAAAAGAGTAGGACATCCGCTGCAGCAAGTAGTACTGTGACATTGGGAACAACCAGAGATGCAGCTTCAAGTATGGTAGAAGCCACAACTGGGAACCAGAAAGTATCCAGTACAGAAGTGAAACCAAACATTGTCAGCATTGCAAGAAGGGACAGCTTCACAGGGCCTCAGAATACACAAGATACAGATTGTATCGTGATTTTGGATGATGATGATGATGATTTTGCTATCAAAGAGATAACGGGCAAAGACAATGTTGATCTCAGAGAGATAGGAAGCGGAGACCACACTGGCTACTCCAACACACAGTCTACCTCTCAGGGCAAGTTACAGAAAATAACTGGCACAAACGCAGTCAGGAAAGGAGATGGAAAGCAACATCGTAAGTTGAAGAGGAAGAGTGGGGTCTCAGATCAGCTGCATAGGAAGAAACATATCAAGAGTGGTGACTCCTGGAAAAGCCATGCTCATGATAAGACAGACTTTTCATAGGTTAACAGCAAAGGAACAAATAGAGTTGCAGAAATTTGTTGAAAGAACAGATAAAAGTCAGAATCTTGTTATTGATTGAGGCAGTACTTTAAATTAGGCTCATTTTCAAGAAAGTTACTAGTGGTTGAAAAAGGAGAGAATGAGAACCAACCTCTTTCAGGGCACAACTAGTTACAAAGTCAGCACAAATTTACTAGATTATTTATACCACCAAGTCTGTTTCTAACAGATGTTTGGGTTAGTGTTGGCCATAGACTACAGACATGGTTAAACAATTAACACTCTGGAAACATAGATGTTTTATTTATTGCTTCATGTAGCAATTGTTTATTTACAATTATAATATGGTACATTCAGATATTAGAAACTATTTGATTGGGACCATTTTTATTATCCAGAAGGTAAAATATTGTGCAAAAAATGTACAATAGTCTGTATTTCAACAGTTCATTCAAATCTGATTTGTTTATGGAACAAGAGTCGTCATGCCTCTGGAAATAATTCATGCTGGTGGTACGTAAGATTAAATGCAACCCAGTCCAAGTGGTGACTACTAAGCCTTATTGTGTATGTTATTATTTTTACAAAATCATTGTCTTCAGCTGAATCTTGTCTACATACATGTAAGAGCTCACAGACCTACCCTGAACAGAGACGGGGGCGACACAAGTTATCTTGCACATATGACCCAATACTATTATGGTCACGTGTCTCTGACAGCACGTTCCAAGAGTAGACGGGTCCATTCTGGATCCGTGAACAAGGTTGACTGAGTCAGCCAAAAATTTGGGAAAAGTTTCATTGTAGTGGCAGTTAAAGTTTACTTTTATTTCATTACTAGCCTGGTTACCAGGCCTATTTTAGCTCCCAAGTCTTTATCTGCTATTTGCTGAGAGGATAAAGACTCGGGACTCGGTTAACCAGGCAAAATCAGTACTAGTGCTAACTGGACGGTGCAGCTGTGTGGCGTGAAGGGACAGTCAGTTGAGGCAGCAGGTTACATGTAGAGATGATGTCCACCTTCTCCTGCAGACTCACCAGGTCTCTCTGGATCACACTCAGGTTATGGGTCACATCCTGAGGAGGAGGGGGGCAGAGAGCATGTAAAGCATTATTATGTTAACCTTAGAAGGAAAACATACTGTTTTTGCTCTGTTTCTTCTTCTTCTCCAAACAGTGACCTCTGACCTGACCAATTACAGGATTTGTTGACGTTTGTCACCATGGTGACTGGTGTTGGGTTACATAATGTTGCAATTTCACGGTCTGCTCTGCTCCTGTCACCATATACTAGTAGTACATGTACATGTATGTGAATGTGTTTGAGTAAAAATTAACAGAGCAGACCATGTCCGAAGGTAAACATTATGCATTTGCTTTGAAAACGTTACTAGTACTTCTCTAGTTTCTTACACTTTTTGATTTCAAGCTAGCCAGCCTGAAAGTACTGATTAAGCCTGAAATTTTCTTGTGTCATCTCAATTTTTTAAGTTAGGCCACACCAATTTAATTTGTTGGTTCTCGGATTTGCCTCTTCATTTTTTTCTGATTTCCAAAAAAAAAAGTTTCTGATTCTAAATCAACTCAAATATGTTCATATTTTGCCCCCAACAGTTGAGGAAAGTCCTTTTCTTCCTAGTTGTTAAAGCTTTTCCATCTATCAATGCAGTGGTTTGATACCTGGCCCACTAAAATAACAGACCCTATCCTTGGTGCTGAACTGCTCTCATTTGTACATTTTAACTCTTTATATTTCCCCTAATAGTACAGTATTTTCTTAGTAATTGTGACTACTTGGCCCACGAAAATTCATCCCTCACCTGTAGTGCTGCTTTAGACTTAATGAGATGTTCTGTGGAGGTGTGTATGGTCCTGTTGCCATGGTGATAGGAAACTGACAGAAATTCTCTGATATTCTTCTTCAGACTTCTGTTCCTCTCATCTGTTAACAAGAAATGTTTTTAATGTCAGGACATGTTACCATGAAGAAATATGTACAAGTCAAATGTATGACATGATTTTTTTGTATAACGTCATGCCATCAAGTAAAAGAGTTATCAACCAAGGATTGAGGACTGGTGTTCAAAAACTTGTTTTCCCTAGAACTATTGTAGAATGGACCTTGCTGCCACTAAGAACAGGGGAATCATCACTTAGTCTAGATACCTTTCTTTAAACAACATTTACAGTTAGATTTGCAAAGGTTAGGTGTAACAGGTCCTTTGGTGTAATCTAGCCAGCTGCTATGTGCTAGTGAAGCTGGTGTGTTACGTTGAATGGCATTTATACTGGCTATACAGTTACAGGACAGAATACTAATGTTAGTACATTGTAGAATTTCACCCCCTAAATTATTGAATCCTTGGCTTTATACATATTGTTTGGTGAATCATACTAAGAGACTGTCCAAAGTAGAGATCTTTTCTAGTGGAACTGAATGAAGTACATACATACATACAACACTCAACATAGTGACTGTATTAATCATTGCCTACCTAGTTTCTTGTGCAGCAATGTGTTGTACTTTGGAGGAATTTTCTCTATTTCTGGTTTTCCCACTTGAGGCTGTCCTCCACCCTCTGCTGTTGCCTCTGTAAAAAGAAATGTTTGCATATATTGAGCAGTAGATACTAAAGTATGTGTTCTGCCCTAGGTTTAAGTTTACTCTGTGTCATGACACACAAATGGCATAAATTGGATTGGGTAAGTACAAGCTCTGAAGTACAAAAAAAAAAGAAAGGTAGCACCATAGCCTCTTTGAGACTGTATGTACATGTTGTGACAGCATGTCTAGGGAATGGTATTGGAAGGCAAAGCGATGATTCCTCTCCTTCCATCGCTTTTTACCTCCCCAACAAAAGTTAGGTACCCATTTTATACTTGCCGGTGGAAGTGAGGAAAGCTGTCTAAATTATTAGTCTTTCCCAAGACCAAATAATAATAAAGCATCTATTGTCTCTGATGCTGGGATCGTGGAAAAAGGCAGGATTTTTATACAAAAATTTTAGCCTCTACCAGGCTTCAATGGCGACTGTCAAGAGTATGTATTGGCTAAACAGACAACAGGCCAGTTGAGTTACATTTGTGGCCCGCTAAAGGTGTACAGTTCATGCAGAGCAGTAAACTGCACTCCTTTAGAGGAACAACTCCCCTAGAATGTCATGATCTGTCTAAAAATAGTATATGGCCAATTTCCACTCTTTCCAGCCACTTCTGAAGCCTGGCAGAGGCTATAAGAGATGTTACCTGCTGTTGCCGGCTGCTGCTGCTTGTCTGTTGGCAGCACCTTTGTCCCCTGTTCTGTATCAGACTCATCGTCATCATCATCATCAGTCTCTGACGCCTCCCCACTCACAACCACTCCTGCCTTCTGGCTAGAATCTAACATCAGGAGGGAAAAAGTCTGTATTTAAGATCTAATGAGCAAACTGACTATGGTAGGGTATTTCTGTTTACCTTCACAAAAGGAAACAGTAATTTGTTTTGCTCAGTTTCTTCTTCCTCTCCAAACAAATAAAGTCAATGACCTGGAGCAGATGTCTGTCACCATGGTAACTGGTGCTGTAGCAGACACCCTGTGGTACTGTGTTACATTATGTAGCAGAACAGAGTTGGAGAGTGCTCACCATACAAAAGAATGTACATGTATTTGACTTTGAATAACAATAAATAGTGTTGTTGGGCTAGACCTGGTGAAAGTAAACATTGTGCATTTGCTTTGAGATATGTTACCTTTCTAGTTAACATTCGTTTTTGGCCTTTAAAAGATAGATAAAGAGGCAATTTTGCAAAAATTCAAACACAAAACGCTTGTAATTATTGAACAGTACGGGTTCGAGTGACAGTATAAAGTGACTGAGTCCAACGGATCCTGGACCTTATGACCTAGTACGGTGGTATGGTCAAAATGTAATAGTAGCAGCCTGGGTTTGATTCCCAGGAGTCCTCTTTTGTGTCTACATGTTTCTGAATTGCTCACCCCTAGTAACAAAAGGACCCTTCAGACAAGTCAGTTGGCTGCACTACACACCCACCTGACATGCCCCCCCTGCCCGGACCCCCCTCCAGTATGGCTGCCACCTCCCCGTCTGACTCCTCTGACTCTGATGCCTCTCCTGCCACCACCACTGGGAACCCTGACGGCTGGCTAGACATGGCTTCTCTGAGTCAGGGCTGGAGACACAGAAAAATGTTTAATTTAAAGCACTGACAAAATACGATATCAGGATCCGGAGGATAAAATAGAAAATATTTTGGATCAGTGGATGAGGTAATCTTCTGTATCTGATATTGAAATTTACTGCCAAAACAAGCTACGTGAGGCATCTATTTATTTTTTTGGTACCACCCATAAATAGCAGGGTCTGTTTACGATACGAAATAAGCAACTTAAGTGACACTTTACTGTCAGCGACATCACATATCAATCAAGCTGGTGTGTTACGCCGAAAGGCGGTTATACCGGCTATACAGATACAGCTACAGATAACGTTACATACACTACTTTGCCTTGCAGATATTAATATATTTTGTCTATGCAAGGAGCTTCAAATATTTTGGGGTGAAGCTCCTTGATCTATGTTATGGGAGAGAATTCATTCAACTCTCTATATTAAAATTTGACCATAAAAACGCGACAAACACACTTACTGTACGTACTTTGCTTTGCCTGAATTTGTTTTTCAAACCCGGAAGTCAACTCTTCTGGTCAAAGGTTACTACCCAAAATGCATCGCGATTGTGCTTTGGAGAAAAGTGTGTCGCGACGTCTCGAAATTCGTCAACAACGTCTTTTAGTAAGTTTTACTCTGATCTAAGAAACCTTGAGACTTTGAGGCAGTGCCAGACGATTTTTTTAAGGTTTTGGGGATTGAAGGAAGGCGGGATTCTGAGACGAATGCCGGCGGAAGAGCAAGGAAAACGCACAAGAGACCGCGAGAAAGACAGGAACTTTCAGACAAACATGGCGGAGAAGGAACACTACTCCTCCAGGAGACGATCTCCTTTGGTAAGACGTTAGATTGAATGTCTTAGAGGTTCAGACGACAGTAAGAAAATGTTTGTATGTATCTATGATAGTATGAGTAGTTTGAATGCAGTGATGTACTTCACAGTTTTGTTGTGACCTAGATTTGCATGATGCCAAGAAGTCTTTATTATTTATTGACGAGCTTACACACGATAAAATTATTTCATGGCTCGTACACATATCCAGAGATCTCACCTGATTTTTTTAGGGGTTAGGTATAGAAGCTAGAGCCCTGACAAAGACGCATGTTTAGAGAGACGTATAGTTCATAATCAGATAGAATCCTGTTTACTACATAGTTGAGAAAAAAAACTGATATCTGGATTTTCGGTTGGTGCTGTAACTAGTGTAAGAAACAGGAAGAGTGAGTAGAAACTGATAAAAAAAACCTGGTCTCGGGCCAGGGTTCGAACCCACGAACGAACGTGCCGATGCTCTAACATTCGGCATAAAGGTCTAGACCCATCGACCAAGTCAGTTGGTAGCGCCTATGAACCCCCCACTGTTACATTGTCTACAAACAAATGTAATTTTGTGCTTCAGGTGGAGAAGAAGTCCAAAGACTCTCAGAGGAGGAGAGAGGAGGAGAGGTTAGACCGCAGACACACAGACAGGACAGAGCAGCGCTCACGGAGCCCAGCAAGGAACCGTGGGGAGGACAGCCGGGATAGAGGGAGGGAGAGAAGCAGGGAGAGAGAAAGGAGGAGAGACAGAAGCAGAGAGAGGGACCACAGACGAGTGGACAGGGGTGTGAGGGAGGGGGAGAGAGGGGGGAGGCAGCAGCACAGAAGAAGGGATGAACGGGAGAGAGAGGAAAGAAAGTTTGTGAGAGTGAAGGAAGAGAGGGACAGGAATGACGAGAGAAGACGAGAGGATAAACAGAGGAAACCTGAGAATCCCTTCCAGACAGAAGAGGGCACAGAAGGTGGGGAGGAAGAAGAAGCCAACAAGGACCAACCCAACTTTGAACTCTCAGGAGCACTGACGGAAGAGACCAACAAGTTCCGAGGAGTCGTGATAAAGTATCGTGAGCCGCCCGAGGCTCGCAAACCGAGGAAACGGTGGCGGCTATACCCCTTCAAGGGTGAAGAGGCGTTAAAACCACTCCACATCCACCGGCAGAGCGCGTACTTGCTCGGGCGCGAGAGACTCGTGGCAGACATACCAATAGACCACCCGTCGTGCTCGAAACAGCACGCCGCGCTCCAGTATCGGCTGGTGGACTACGAGAAACCGGACGGCACGACGGGGCGGCGCGTGAAACCGTACATCATCGACCTGGAGTCGGCAAACGGCACGTACGTGAACAACCAGAGGATAGAGGCCAGTCGGTACGTGGAACTGATGGAGAAAGACGTGGTGAAGTTCGGGTACAGCTCGCGGGAATATGTTCTCCTGCACGATACCTCCGACACCTCAGGGGTGCAGGCCGGGGAGGATGATGAAGGGTTGGATGACTAGACATACTTCATGCCCGTAGCCAGGATTTTGAATGGGGGGTTCTTCCCAAATTATGTCCGAGGGACCAGCGAGTGCCATAGGCACGAGGCGAGTGCTGAATTGGCAAACTTCCTCCGGGGGCATGCTTCCTTATAAGATTTTCAAAATTGAACCTTCTGAAATGGCATTTTTGAGAGGATTTCAAAGGAAAAATCAGAGATAACTTTTTATTCAACGACAAAGTGAGCAGATTTTTCAGGATTCCAGCCTTGCTGGTGATACAAATCAGTCCATCTTATAAAGAAAAATCTTGGACCTGTAGATAAAGACAAAAGTGGACCTTTGAGCCTTGTGGGGGGGCGTTTTTCTGAATTCCCCCTGGCTACGGGCATGTACTTGTCAGTTGTGCATCTGTTAGTGTTTGTTTATCCCCTGTAGTGTTGTCATACAACAGTTTGGTGCCTTGTTTTTTGTGAGTAGAGTGTGTCAAACCCCTGTCACACATTCAGGTTACTACTATACATGTAGTACCTTTCCATGACCATGGCAGTGGGGGTATATTCCGCTATATATGTGTGATACTGATAGGGGCTTCAGGGGACATTGTAAATATCATTCAGAAGTTACTAGGGTTGGTTTAATGATGTATCTTTTTTAATGTGTTGATGGAGATTGCAAGTATACCATGATGTTCATCTCTTTAATTTCAAAGCAACAGTTAATGTGAACTCAGCATCTAAGTCAGATGTGCAGTATGAGAAATTGCACCTTTTCATGATGCTACACACACATACAAACACACACAGTTGAACAACAGTGGCATGTTACTAGTATACATTTGTAGGTCTTGGGTTGGAATATTGTGTTAAACTCACTCAGAGATACCACCATTGTAAAATTTGTAACATAGTGGTTGCATAGGAACTTTTATTGCTTTTTTGTTGACACTTTTTCAGAACTTCAGTCAGAAAAAAATTTAAGAAATTGTGTTTAACTTTTTGTCAAAGAATGTCACTGGAAATAAGATTCAGTATTGCCTGATTCAAGAATACACAATGCATGTGTATACCTTAGTCAGTACCGGTACTATGTACAGTTAGAAAGATGTGTAAGAATGTGTATTGCAGCCTTCCAACTGCTGTCAAATGTCCCTGACAGAGAAGGTTGCTCCATCATTTTGTGTGTTTTTTTCCAGAATACGGTAGTGATTGTCATTTGTAATCTTGTAAGTTGTACTTACCTAACATTGAGAACATGTAATAAAAGTTGAAGACAGTGTCATCGCCACTCCAGTTGGTGTATATGGTTTCACACATCTCTATTTCTTTACCCTTGGGCCACACACATTAAACTACATGTACGTACGTGGTATTCAACTTCAATTCATAAGTGATGAGCCTTATGAATTCGGCAGAACGTACTGCACCTGCTTAAAACCTATTAATATATTATGTGCATAGCACTTCTACTGTATTCTTTAAGGTAGAATTCAAGTTTTTAAGGCTGAGCTCCCACCTGTAGTTTGCAAATGTCGTATTGGAAAAGATACCATAATTCTGCAATGGGTACAATAAAAATGTGATAACTCCCTAAGAACAGGATATTTGAAAACTGTTTGCACAAACAAACAAAACAAAGTAATCAACATGATATCGGTCTATTTGGCCAATTTCTACTCTTTCGAACTGCTTTTGACATCTTTTAACATCCTCTATGTGTAGTAAGTACAGTGGCCAGCATCAGTTTGACTCATTTTGCTTTTATTCCTTTATACTCCATTTGAACAGTTATAGACTAACATCATACCCTGACGAAGTTTTTCTTTATACAGTGTATTAGTCTTATATTATCCCACACCCTATCTCCTAAAGTCATCTTGTAAGTCATGTAACATTACATGTAGATGTTGTATAATATTGCACACATTATAAACTTCAATCTAAGTTAATCTATTGTCCTACTTCAATATGTCCATTAAATAGAAACTTTTGATAGCTCTAATTCATCATAAATTATAAAGTGAATTATTAAACTTAAAATATAAAGTATGAGAAGTATAGAGTATGGCCGTGGCCCTATTTGACTCTTTTGAGAATTTAGTAATTATACATTACATAATTGACCATTCAGTTCAGTCAATATATAATAGATACATCAGTATACTGTATAATGATATTTTCATACAACCTAATTACAAATGTACATTGTATACTATAGCACGCGTGGTTGACAATTACATCAACTATGCATGTGCACTCACAGTGAGTATACTTCTCTTTAAAGCTTTCTAAAATGTTCATGAGTTCACAAACTACATGACTATATCTATATATTTAACCTTCTAAGCTAGCCATGTAGCAACAAATTTGTATTGGTTATGGGGTTAGGCAGCAGATTTGGAGTCACTTTTTGCATGATAGTTCTGAAATCATAATTATACACATCCTGAAATCCTGTACAACCAAATTTTCTTAATTTATTTCAGGGACAACAGTTGAATATTACATATAGTACCCGTATCAAGCTCTACTATCAACCCAATGGAAAACTTTCTATGATTTCTGAGATATATAATCCTTACTTGTTGTAAACAGTTTCTCTAAAGTTTAGCAGTAGATCGGCAACCTTTGTGGGAGCCTCTAACCCGACAGTGTGTCCACAGTCCTCTATAATATCCACCTGTAGAGAAGCTGTTATCTTTTTCTTCATCACATCCAAACTGCTGATGTGTAGAGCCTGTTGGATGAAAAAATCAGCAGAATTAGCCTTCCTTGTCTCTTTTAAAGTAATATGAATTCTCAAAACTGTTAATTCTCAAACATTGTGTTGTTCGAAAGAAAGCTCATCTGTGTTGGTAGAATCCATAGTTAGAAGGTTTAAGCTTGTTCCAACACAAGGAAGGAACTCACCATAAACTTTCGGTTGATCACGTCAACCTTCATCAGATGTGTGATGCAATCGCTGATCACTTGTGTTCGAACAAGCTTTTAAAAACCTTCTAACTATAACTGCATTGTGTTATGTTTAAGTGAAATAATAAATGCTACTTTATCAATTGTATTTTATGCTAGCAGGGTGGACCATTTTTGAACTTGACCTACATTTTCACAATAGCTACCAAATAATTTGGAAGATCTATCCATAACTTCTTGAGTTATGACTTTGACCTACGCACAGACCCACACCACAGCTGCTCCAACAGGTCCAAATCGAAAACATAGCCTTCTGGCGAAGGCAACAATGTGCTTGAGGGGTAGGATATCATATTATCACGTGATGTAAGCACTGAGACATGGTACCATTACCTTGTCATGCCTTCCCCATATCACCTGTGTTGGTGCAGTGATCTTCCCCAGGTACGGGGTGAGTCCATCTTGTCCATGTTCCAACATGGCATCAAATACTGCAACAGGAATGCCACATATAACCGTTATAATAATTAATATATACGTCAGCAAACACAAAAATGGTCACATACTAGTAGCTGGTTTCATTCAACTAATTTATAGTTACTAATAGTTACTTAGTAATACTCACATTGTTGGTTGAAGTTTCTGTAAGGCTTGGAGTAGTCCACATATCCTTTCAATACCTGTGAAGGGTGTTTCAAGATATATCGGTAATAGAGGTCATTAAAAAATTGCTGACTGTGTCAGCAGCTGATATACTAGTATTAAACTATTGTGACAGGTAACAGGAAATTTTTAAATGCCAGTCAAATTATGCAACATTGGAAGGTGCTAGTTCTGAAGAAAGCAGGGCAATAACAAAGGCAGAAAAGCAAGCAAGCATCCCTCACATTGCAAAAGAATTGTAAAACCGACTGTGCTGAAAGAAAGAGAAAGCAAAGCAGAAAAAACAAACAATAAAACCATGACAGTAATGAAAGCACACTGAGTAGAAAGTATAATCAGGTAGCAGACTTTGCAGCAAAATTATCATAGTGTAATTCCCTTTTCCACAACTCCTAAAGAAAATGTTTAAACCACCTAAAAACAAGACTTTCGGAATCTACGTACCTGTTTGGGTGGTATGAGTGACTTGTTATGCAGAACGATGTTAAACATTTCCTCTGCCTGCTCCACAGTTTCAGGGATCATCACATGTTTGTTTCCCTGGGCAATCTTCTCAAACATCACACTTTTATCTGGCAGTAGTATACCTGTGACAAAACATCAAGAGAACAAAAATCAGTTCGTATAACTAGAAAGGTTGCAAAGCAAATGCATGAATGTTTACCATCGCATATGGTCTGCTCTGTTAATTCTTACTGAAACCCATTCATATAATATATTGTCTGACGGTCTAAATCCCTCCTGCTATAAAATTGCAACATCATGTAACCCACACTACCGGGGTAGTTACCATGGTGTCAGACGTCTGGTTCAGGTCATTAACCTTTAATTTATTTCTTTGGAAAAGAAGAAGAGGAAACAGCAAAAACAGTATGTTTTCCTTCGGTAAGGGAAACATTTTGCTGTCATGGTAAGGCAGGTATTCTCAGCTACTGTAAAGTTTTCTTAACTCTCAGGCAACTTGTGTGTATGTTTGTGTGTGTGTGTGTGCGCGTGTGTACATGTGTTTGAAATAACAAGAGGCGAGTAGTACAGAGTCCCCTGGTTCCCGGGACACTGGGAACCAGGCACCCAAAGCACACGCTAAACCAATAGATAGACCAAAAAGTCTAGACCTTTAAACAAGACAGTTGGTGGTGTATGTACTTGAATGCTACTGTAATACACTCACCACAGAACAGAGCAAGTTTAGTACCACTTACCACCAGGACATATCATTGTCAGGGCCCATATCGTCTCAGGATATGTCGCTGTGTAGCACCCAGCCAGGCCGCCTCCCATGGAGTGTCCTATCACATGGAGTCTGCCACGGTCAAGACCAACCTCGCCGACGAACTACAAACGGAGAAAAACAATTGTCACAATTATACAAAATACAACCTTAGCTAGCATCTACTAAGGCTATTCATCAGATGAGGCTGGAAGGAGTAGAAATCAGCCAAATAAGTAGACAGGAAATGCCAGTGGAGTTGGTCTACAAGTTGTTGCTCTCATTAGAGCTGTGTACCTAAACAAATTTTCGGTACAGGTACAGGTACAGGTACACAGGTTTAGGTACAGGTCCGTACCTGAACCTGTACCTGAACAATTCGACCAATTTTAATATGCTCTTCTGAACTCCTTCAATAACAAAAAAAACATAAATAAACTTGATAGTTAAGGTTTATTCTTTGTTTATGGCGAATGCTCAGATAAAATATAGGCTATATATATGTTTTTGTTTTCATGAACACACTGTCCTTACACAGGGACCCATTGTTAACCAGCTATTTACACATTTGAGGTCACAAATAGGCATAAAATTGGTGTGAAATTGTTTAGGTACAGTACCGGTACTGAGGGATTAGGTATTTTGGACCTGTACCTAATCAATTTTACTGGTACAGTATCGGTACTGCGTACCGGTACACAGCTCTAGCTCTCATTACTCTTTCCAGCTGCTTCTAAAGCCTGCCTCAGGCATGTCAGGGGCTTACCAAAAAGCTGCAGAAATCAAAAGTGGCCATTCCTATTTCGTACAAGCCTCTACCAGGCTTTGGGAGATGACTGGAAAGAGTAGAAATGTAGAAATTGGCCAGATAGAGAGATAACATGTAGGTCTGCTAAAAATTAGTTTGCCGCAACCGAGCCCCTGGCAAGTTATCTCTCTATTTGGCCAATTTCTACTCTTTCCAGTCGCTACCCAAATAGAAAAGGCTGGTAGAGGCTAATTTGTAATTAGCTAGTTGTACCTGGTGTAGTTTGGCAGCGTAGGCCTCTACGTTCAGGTCAGCCTTGGCCTTGATGCCAGTGTCTCCATGTCCAGGTAAGTCTACAGCTATCAGGTGCAGGTGTTTGGGCAGGTGCTGCAGGTGAAAAAATACAAATATATATAACAGCTGTTTTATTTGTTTCTAGCTAAAAGTGAAAAGTGTACATAACATTGCACCCATTTCAAGCCCTGAAGAGAACTATATCATCATAATGATGAATTGAAACAATTAACTAGAAAGGTAACATTTGCAAAGCAAATGCATAATGTTTACCTTCACATATGGTCTGCTCTGTTAATTCTTACTCAAACACATTCATATGGTAACAGGAGTCTAAATCCCTCCTGCTATAAAATTGCAACATGATGTAACCCAATACCAGTTACTATGGTGACAGACGTCTGGTTCAGGTCAGTGAACCTATTTGTTTGGAGAAGAAGAAGAGGAGGAAACAGAGCAAAAACAATTATGTTTTCCTTCTGTAAACATAATTAGACAGAAAACTGACCATAATTATTCCACAGTAACTCTCCTTCCTGTCTGAAAAGCCGTGCAGGAAGAGAAGCGATGGTTGGTTCTCGCTGGGCTGGCCTCTCTCCATGTAAGCAAACTGGCACTCCCCCACTTTCACGTACTTGATGGTACAGCCTGATCTCCATCTGTTCAAACTGGCACACATAAAATGTAACAAAGCTGATTTATATAATAGAAAACTTTACATGCTCTCTTTGAACAATTTACTTTAAAAACATTATTAAACATTATATGACATTCTGATCTTATTTCGTAATAACTTAACATCAGACATGAGATGCCTTATTTGGGGGCCTGCATGGGGGGGGGGGGTCCCGACAACGCTCTACGCTGAATTAGGAAATCTCTTGATTACACTTAACGATAAATTCCAAGTGGCTACAACGCATTATGTAGAATTAAAAATACGCAAAATATGCCAATTACGCTCTACGTAGAATTAGAGCGGTCCGTCTACGCTCTACGTAGAATTAAAATGGCCGATTACGCTCATATATATTTCGGACAATGCTCAGCTACTACATGTATATTTTTCCTCCCTAAACCTTCAACACTAAATATTCTGTCATAAAAGTTCATCTGTGTTGGTAGCTACTAAGTAGTACTACTACATGTTTAAAGTTATGGATAAGCTATCCAGTTTACCTCTGGAAGAAAGAAATGATGTAGATAGGTTGGATGTATATGACGTAGATAGCCAGGGTCAGAGTGGTCAGTACAGCTCCTCCAGCCAACTGGACAACAGTGGACATGACCTCCATCTTGATCACCTGAGGTAAAATATCTGAGCTGTATGTGCAAAGGACAGATTCAAGGACATTGTGGATTTAAACAACGTCCTTGATTTAAAACACCATAAAAATTGTACTTTCGTTTTAATCATCATCATCTTTAGAATGAAGAAAATGACGTGCATATCTGTAGATGAGAAATAGTCACATTTTTGCTTGAAGTATTTTCTCAATTATCTTTCAAAGTTACTTCTACTTGGTCCCGTTTGATCGGTTGAAACGTTGGTCACAGGACCGTAACTTTAGGTCCTGACTGTAAGCCACAGCGGGCAGCAGAAGCACCTGAAACACCATGTCTCACCTGTCCTCCAAGCGATCATCCAGTCCACGTGATCTGTCCACCGTGTAGCACCGCCACCTGGCGATGCGTTTCAGCATCGCAGTTTCAGTTTATCACGGCAAGGGATTGAACCACGTATCAAAAGACGTAGGGAGGTCCAGTTAAAATAAACAATAAAACATGACCGAATTAACATCTTTTACGTTTTATAGTTTAGGATAATTGCCTAAACTATAGTGAGTGTTTTATTACTTATCATTATTATGTATGTTATCATGACGATAAAAAAATTTCATACATATTGAATAATGTTATCCCTACAGAATGAATGGTATGTCCAAAAGGAGTCCCAGGGGGTAAAGGTCAGTTAGAGCGCAACACACTTAAAAAAATGTCAAGAAAAAATTCGTTTGTAAAGCGTAAAAGATATCACATTGGCGATTACATTGATTTTAAAATTTTATCTTTTTAATTCTATATCATTTGTGACCAAAAAAATTGTTATAAGTTCACTTATAATCAGAAAGGTTTGCTGCGATTCCACGTTTCACTGCTATGTGTTTTTTCCCGCGCATTTCAATTTGTAAGATGGCGCCGGTTGTTGTGAAGTGTGTGGTCTCCTACAGTTCGCAGGTGAGAAGTAAGATTTAGCGATAAAGAAGGGTAGAATCAGTTACTTCGACACTTCGCTAAGGACTCCAGAACTTTCTTAAACTTTTTGATTATCGCTGGCATTATATTATAGCCTGATGTGTCTAGTTTAGCTTTTTTTGTTTATGGGGGAGGGGGGCGTCGGATAGAACTTCCACACGTAGCAGCGGAAAATATATCGCTGTCAAAATAGGTTCGTACTAGCAGACATTCCTTGATAATGTCATTATAACTGCTGCTTTCTTGGATCTAAAAGCTAACTGTCTTTTCCACTACATTACTACTTGAATAGCAAAGTTCTTTGATCACAACCATTTATTTTTCACGAGTCGACGTTTCAATGACCGTCTGTCATCTTCATCAGGGCAATTCTGACTGGTTTACTGTGCACTGACGCTAGATGTTACTTGGTGCATAGTGCACTAAAGGTGTTACATAGTTCACAGTGCACTGTTACTTGGTCTAGTTTTTACTGTTAACAAATTATGCATTTCCGAACGTAGTGCAAATTATTGTGACATACATACAAGGCATCGAAACGTCGGCTCGTGAAAAATAAAAATTATGATTGTGATCAAAGAACTTTGCTATTCATTCGTTTACCAACCTGATGAAATTATTTACGTGTACATTACTACTTGTCATGCCCAAAAGCTCACTTCTAGACATTACTTTTTCAATGATAAGTTGGCAAAGAAGGCAAAGAAACCGCTGTCATAGACATTAGAAATTTGCATTTTCTGCACCAACAGAAACAAAAGCACCATTTGCAAAAGAATGGTGTCATTGTTCAAGTTTGACACAGAGGTCAACAATGCATCATTTGCATTTATATGAGACACTAATTTATGCATAGGGACTAATTCAAGACACTAAATTGACTAATATATGCATAGAGATGTGTTGACCTACGTCCATTGTTTTTGCACTCTAACTGTAAAGTAAAATCATGCAGCTTTTAATTATTTTGTAGGTGTATGGTTGTATAACTGCAGGTTATGTTTCAAACATGGTGACTACTACTAGTTTATAAATTATATACTACTCTATAAATCTAACAGTGGCAAAAGTTCAAGATTTTCATTACTTAACTCCATGGCCTGCTACGAGCTTAGGACTAGGAAAAAATGTTATGTTTCCTGTTTCAGTCCTGAAAAAATTAGGGTCGGTAGGTAGGGATTATATTTTTATTTAGACTTCAGTCACTTCAGTAATATTTATATAGGGGTCCAACTTATTTATACAATACAGTTTAACAAAGTAAAACTTGTATGAGGACACTTATTGTAACGTTACAACATTTTATTACTCAGGTGTCAGATCATGGAGCTAGAAAAGGTTGATCAGCTTGAAAAATTATTTTTGTCCCTTGGGGTCCACACATAAAAAAGTCTAGGGTCCGCAGGTTTTTCTAGGTTTGGTTGGGAAACAGGAAACACAACATTTTCTTCCTAGGCCTCATTGTGTGTTATTAACATATTGTTTCAGGATCCTGTCCACAAGCTGGACAACCTGCTGACAGCCCAGGGAGGCAACTGGAAACGCTGGCTGTGTGCCTCTGACGACAGGTCAGGGGTCATGGAGGCGGAGCTACAGCTGGACAGGGCCTACCACATCGGATATGTCGACATCGGTATGAACTTATGATCTTTTTAGAGCAGTTGTCAAAGTGTGGAATATTCTAGAATAGATCAATTGGAGAAAAGGCGGTTTGCCATTTTACCATGAATTGTATTCAACAGGGTTCAAAATACCACCTGCATATGTAGGTTGGTGCAGGTAACATTGGAGCTGTGCAGGTACTTTTGATATACACACCTGCATCTAGCCTGCACTTGTTCATAAACAGGGTTATCACCAATTGACGTATAAAAGTATAAAAATTAAAAGCAATGGTTTCAGTATTTAGTATGATGCATACTTCCTCAATTCTCTGAGTGGGGCAGATACAGCTCAATGTATTGTTACTGGCACTAGTGAACCAGAATTTCAAGTGAAAGTATTTCAAGCCCTGTGTTGAGCACTGAGCAGCAACTTGAGCTGTATAGTGTATTCTCAGAAGTTTCAGTTGTCTGCTGCTTCCAGCTGCCTTTATCTTGCTATAGTAAACTTTATTGCATGGTGGTGTTTTGACAAGGTGTATATGTATGTCCCCAAAGGAGACATTTCTAACTTGATAGTGATGGGCTCAGATGAACTTATCATGTTTATTTTCCAGGTAACTGTGGTTCGGCGTACGTGGAGTTGCTTGTCGGACGTTCATCCTGGCCGCGCTCGCGGGAATACGTGACACTCCTGCCCGCCACCATGTTCATGAACCCCATGGAGAGCAAAGCGGGCAAGAACAAGATGGTCGTACGCATGTTCAATGAAAGTAAGTAAGACTCACATATCATATTACATGTATGTAGGTTATAGAATATCCCATATGCTTCATAAGTCATAAGGCCACACCAATTTGATTTGTTGGTTCTTAGATTATTTAAGAAAAAATATGAAATAATGGACTGAAAAATGAAAAGTGAAAACAGATCTAGGCATCCTCCGATAGCCCCCAAAGCTATGATAGGAGCCATAAAGTCAACATACAAGGCTTGTATATAATTCAAAGAATGAATTTTAAAACTTTTTAGGCAACCAACCCATTGATAGATGGAAAAACTATGGCTAATTAATGGACACCTCTCTGGCCAATATACTGCCTTGCCACCATATGATCTGCTTGGAGATTACATTACTGGAAGAATTGCATGACTGTTTGAGTTGCTCTCCAAGCAGAGGTTTGGGCTTTGGCTTATTTTTGGCATGTTTTTTAGGCTTTTTATTGGGCTTTCTATTTTGCACTGGTACCTTTTTTTACACCAACAACTAAAAAGATACCAGTGCATAAAAATAAAACACGCCAAAAATAAGCCAAAACCCAAACCTCTGTTGGAGAGTAGTTTGAGTAGCATGATAGATGAATCAGTGTTTACAAATGTGCTGCTGGTTTTTGCTGTGATGTAGGTCTGCTGTCAGAAGAGGGGCGTAGTGAGATGTGGGACCGTGTGCGGATCATCTGTCGTCAGCCCTTCCGCAAAGACCTGCAGTTCGGCCTGTCGTTTCTGAGACTGCGTACACCAGACACAGAGGTTCCTACTCCTAGTCCTCCAAGAGTTGAGGTATGTTTTTCAAGAAGCAACAATTTGTGGAAATAAAAGGTCTAATCTAAAGTCATGAAGTAGTTGAAAGCCTCCATGATCTTTCTATTGAGAAATCATCAGGCCAAGAAAAAAATGTTTCCTGACTGATACAGGAAAAATCTGCTTTTTTTTGTGTGGACCCCTGCATGGGACATAAATTGTTGGAGCTGATTGACCTTTTCTAGCTCCATGATCAGACACCTGAGTGATGAAACGTTGTACAATTGGTTTTCCAACAGTGACATGTAAAATGAAAAGTGTCCTCATGCAATTTGAACTTGTTGAACTGTTTTGTATAAGTTTGATCACTACAGATCGGCGATGTCTAAGAAAAAGGAAGAAAAAGAAAATATGATTCCTATCTACCGACCCTAATTTTTTTCAGGACTGAAACAGGAAACACAACATATTTTGCCAAGTCCTTATTCAGAAGTAAAAAATGACACGCAATTTGTGGGAATAAAAGGCACAAAGTCATGAAGTAGCTGAACACATCCCATGATCTTTCTATTGACAAATCATCATAGTAGTTTCTTCTTCTCTGTTCCAGGTGCCTTCAGTCACAAAGGTCAGACACAACAGTAGCTCCAGAAAAGAAAGCACTGCTAGTACTAGTACTGCACCTCCCCAGGCATGTGGCACAGAAACAAATGAGGCCATAGAGAGCACAAAAAGCAGACTGCTGAAACTGGCAGGGACGTCAGAAGATGGTACTTCGGAGCACCTTGGGCGCAGTGCGAGGATGGTGGTGGCAGCAGCCAGTAGACAGAAGAACAGACACACGAGAGGGGACAGAACAACAGATACACCCACAGGTGTAGTTAACCAGGTGGGTTGGCCTCTTGTCTTTCACAAAGTCCTTGAAGCACCTTACATTTATATGGCAAGAATTTTCATGAAAAGGGTTGTGGTGTAACATTTTGTTGTCTCCTTTCTCAACAGTTTGAAATCCTGAAGTTTTTAGGAAGCCTGGATTTCAGCAAAATGGACGTGGACACTGTTATGTACTCAGGTACGGTGCTGTAGTATTTTTGTTAATTCTAAAATTTATAAATCTTGGTGTAATCGGTACATTGCAGTAAAGAAGAGTCAGGCCTAGAAAACAATGTTGTGTTTCCTGTTTCCCAACTGACCCTAGAAAAAACTGCCGACCCTAGCCTTCTTTTGTGGATCCCTGCAAGGGACATAAATTTTTCGATCTGATCGACCTTTTCTAGCTCCATGATCTGACACTTGAGTGATGAAATATGGCACAATCAGTTTTCCAACATGGACATTGAAAATACAAGTGGCCTCATGCAAGTTTTACTTTAAAGTTTGTTAAAGTGTATTGTATAAGTTGGATCACTAGAGACCGCCAGTCTAAAAAAAAAAGAAAGAAAATCCCTAACTACCGACCATATTTTATTTTTTCAGGACTGAAACACAACATTTTTTTTCTAGGCCTTACAGATGTTTCATCAGTATATTCATATTGAAATAGTCTCTTAGGACACAAGAAGGTTGAATTTGTTGTTCCTAATATGAATGTCTTGATCAAGTCTTTTGCGCATTCTTAGAATTTAACCCTTCCCCTCATCACTCCTTATTTTTCAGACCTCAAGATGCAGTACAAGCAGGTCCTGGGTCGCAAACTGACGGCCGAGGAGAAGCGTGTGTTCTTCCAGACCACCCAACAGTACCTTGAACAGTACTTCTCTCAGAACAAAGACTCGGAGAACAGACAACAGGCAAACGGTCACTCCACCACATCTCCAGAGAAAGTAGAGGCAGCGGTGACTGAATCTGTAACGATACTGAGAGACACGTCAAGTAAAACAAACACACCGCAAAGCACAAGGAAGAGAGGTGGAAAGGGGAAGCAGCCAATGTTGCCGACGCCCGTAACAACAACAACATCAACGGTAGAGGTAAACAACGCAAACCAAACAAACACACCGCAAAGCGCAAGAAAGAGAGGTGGAAAGGGAAAGCAGCCGATGTTGCCAACGCCGGTAACAACAACAACGTCGTCAGTAGAGGTAAACAACGCACACCAAACAAACACACCGCAAAGCACCAGGAAGAGAGGAGGGAAGGGAAAGCAGCCGAGGTTGCCAACGCCCGTGACAACGTCAACTGTAGAGGTAAACAACGTAGACCAAATGAACACACCGCAAAGCACGAGAAAGAGAGGTGGTAAGGGAAAACAGCCGAGGTTTCCAACGCCCCTCAAAACATCGTCAACGGTAGAGATAAACAACGCAGACAGTGCGTTAACAGGCAGACAGCTGAGAGCATCATTCCTAGCCAGTGTTGTGGACAGGAGAGGTGGGAACCAGCAGTGTGAACAGGCTGACGTCACAGTCGAGGCAAGCTGTAGCAATCCAACTCCCAAGAAGAGAGGAAGGAGGGCAACATCTGCTGCAGGGTCAGCCAAGAAGAGACCCAAGAGATGTAACAGGTGATTAGAATTATGTAGTATAGGGTAGATATTTGGCAAACACAAGTTAGGAGCAACAGCCTCGCAGGACAAAATCATCTTTTAATCCTCTCTAAAACAGGAGAAAGGCAAATTATCATTAATTTCTACCAGGCTGAGTGCATACTGTAAATCACTTTAAATTTTATGTTCATGGTAGCAAAAGTTTGCGGTCTGAGAAAATTGGACATGTTTGCAGAACTATACGTTCGCAGTAGTGGCAGGTGCAGAAAAAAGAAAGTCTGTGAATTATTTGTTCACGGTAATGGAGAATTTGAGTGCAAAAGTGAGTGCAAAAACCATGGACATAAATGTGCCACGAAAAAAACGTTATTTACAGTATGCACAAATGGTATTTATTCACAGTCCTGGTGACTGAGGTGGTCTGCAGTTCCCTTACCTGCCAGTAGGGGCGCTTCATTCTTCTCTCAGAGTTCTTTCATGTCCAGTAATGGCATACAGCCATTCAAAGTTTCTCCACTTTCACATTTTGATATTGATATATTCTGTTATGACCTGATCTTTCTGTTACTAAGATCCTCTAAAACCTGTCATTCAGAATTGTTGGTGTCCCGAGATGTTGTTTTGACACCAACTTTTGTTGACTTGCTGCAGGAGTATGTACCCTGTGGGAGACACACAAGTTGAGGAAGATGAGCCGTCCTGTTCACAGAGTTCCTGTGGCAGTGCAGGGGCTTCAGACACCTTGGCAGAGTGTCCCATATGTGAAGGTATGTAAAATTATTAAGTAGAAGGATGATAATACAATGTATACTTTTTTTTTAGTAAAAGCCTACTTGCATGTACTAGTAAGTTGAATTGCTATCTCATAGCATACTGATATCTGGGTTTGAATTGCCTATGATAAAATATAGTTTCAAGCTGGTTTTACTACATACAATAGGAGAGATATACACTTTTATATATGTATTCGAGATACACTTTAAGTTTTACCAGGTATATTTGAGATGATAGCGTGTAAAAAGTACTCAATTCAGCCTTTGGCTGCGATGTACTTTTAATACCCGATCAAAATTATCAAAAATTCAAATAAACAGTTAATAAACAATAAATTCATTAATTCATTAATTCTTCATTCATTCTTCATATATTCTTTAATACACACTTTTGTACATTGTTTTCTTACTGAAACAACTGTTTTATTTTTAACAGGGAAGTACCCATCTTACATCATTGAGGCCCATGCTTCAGAATGTACCGGAGATTCGCCAGACGATGACTTACCCAGCCCGTCCAAACCGTGTGGTTCAGAGCGAGACGACTACTACATGCCTCCCACACGACTGGTGGCCTGCCCCCTGTGTGCTCTCAGGTTCCCTCCATCAGTTATCCAGGACCACGCCAATGCTTGTGCAGACAGAGATGTTATATGTGTATTCTGAGACCAACAATCGTAGTGTGCAGTGTTCAGGAGGGAAAGATTATGTACAGATTATTGAGCCAAATCAATGGAATGAAGCTACTTTGCCATTATGTGCCTCTGTGTGTATTTATAACACCAGAAGTTACCATTCCATGTATTTGATAATGTTGTGATTTCACTATCAAAATCTGTCCCAAAAACGTACATGTAGATTGTACAGTCATAAGTTTACTCCTCACTTGTTTTATCCTGTTATCAATTTTCCTAATATTTTATTTTCTGTAGTTATTTTACAGATTAATCTGCATGCTGAATAGTGTTACATACCTTCAGTTTTACCTGTTGGCAAAAGGTCTTAAATTGTTGTCACTTTTAACCAATTCATGCACTTTGATTCCGTTATTATTGTTCTGTTGAGAACAATTTGTAACATCAATGTACAGTACTGATAGTGCAGATAGTTATATCTTTACCACTGTACAGATAATACTTTTATACCGATTGTTATTTGGAATACATTGGCTTGTTCTGCCCTGAAGCTGTGTGTGTGTGTTTTTGTACTTCTGAAGCTTGTGGTAGATTTTGTTGTTTTGTTTATTGCAGTTGTATTTACCTTTTGGTGTGACACACATCAGGCATGCAGTGTTGCGCAATTGGTAACGCAATCCCAACGGTCGGCCATGTGGGTCAAATTCCTTGGACTCGCGGGCACAAGTTCGATCCCCAGGTCGGGTCAACTGGGATAGGCTATGACTATGAGGGATTGCTGTCATTTCAGATGGTGACATAAAGCCGGTGGCCCCTAGCCCTAGTGGCTTTCCTTGGAACTGCAGCAGAAATTCCAGTTTTTGAAATCTCGTGATCTGGACATGGTAGGGTCACGATTTTTGGTTCATAGAGAGCCATTGGCACATGTAGTGACATAGGTTTGGTCCCCCTAGCAGCTTGTTATGGAACTGCTAGAATTGCTGTCTGAAGATAATTTGTCGAAGGTATGAGATTGTGGAACTCTAGTTTAAAGCTATCTAGTGAGGAAACCTCTTTATTATACTGTCAACAAAGTCTTTTGAGACGTGCTGACCATATCTACGCAGGCCCCTGTTCCCTTTTGGCTGACATTGATACGTGCAATATCCCCACATCTGACACCCCCTCTTGCACTTCCATTTGTGACATGCTAGTTGTTTCTATTCAAGATACTTTTTATTTTAACGATTTTTTGACACGGAATTTGCTAGGTATGATAAAGGCCCCTACGTAAGGCCCCTGTCTTGCATTTAAAACGCCCCTTTTGAAGGCAGCATAGCAGACCTAGCCAAAAGGTATCTTTTTTTAAAGAGATTTTTTGGCACGAAAATGATGCCATACTTGCACCCCCCCTTATTTTAGACCATTGCATCCCCATTGCATCACCATCCTATTTAAATTTGATCCATGTGGACATATGATAGAATGTTGTTACTATTCCTGTCCTACTTTTACGAGTTGTTAGAAACACACTATCTCACATCTAACGGCTTGCTAGTGGGATATACATGTTTATGTTCTTTCTTGGAAGTCACATGTTGTTGTGCACATAGAGAAATAAGCTATAAAGAGAATCACCCTCATTACAGTAACATGATCATGTTTTCTAAGCTGGGATGTACTTTCTGGGAAGTCGTCCAAGGTTTTTGTTTTATTTGGTAAAGAACAAGAGGTATTTGAAAACAAATCGTAAACCTTAGATGACTGCAACAGTAGGGGTAAGGAGAAAGGACATGAAATACTCGTCAATTTGGTTTGGTTTTTACCAAAACTAGCAGGATTGAATTACAAGAATTACACAAGAAAACTACTTACTCAAGCAACTCGACAGATTCTGTTAGTCACTGACGAAAAGTAGTGGATGCTATCTGAAACTAGCCTGGCCTGAAACTAGCATAGCCTGATGCTACCTGGATGCTACCTGCACCTAGCCGAGCCTGAAACTAGCATAGCCTGATGCTACCTGGATGCTACCTGAAACTAGCCTAGCCTGAAACTAGCATAGCCTGATGCTACCTGGATGCTACCTGAAACTAGCCTAGCCTGAAACTTGCCTAGGTTAGCTGGACACCAGCTGGCTAACTGCCTAGCTGAAACGTCTGACAGTTTTCAAATCCATCCAGTTGCTTGGGGCCAATTTTGTTGTATATCTCATTACCTGGATGTGTAAGCTTCATCTACGTTAATTGCAAGAATTGTTTGTAAGTTGGATATCATTGGTAGCCTACACCAGGCTTCGGAAGGCGGCTAGAAAGAGTAGAAATTGGCCAAATAGAGAGCATACCGGGGGAGTTGGTCCGTTAAAAAGTACAGTTTGAATTGCAACTCCCCCGGTATGTTATCTCTCTATTTGGTCAATTTCTACTCTTTCCAGCCGCCTCCCGAAGCCTGGTAGAGGCTACTGGCCTTTTTTAATATTCCAACATGTAATCACAATTAAGACGTGGTGACGGCACATTCAAGTTTTTTTTTCAACTTATATTAATGCCGTCACCAATAAAGGGGGCAATACAATACTCATTTTCACCCGAGCGAAGTGAGGAAAGTCGTGTAAAGTGTCTTTCCCAAGGGCCCAAGATCAGTGGCGTGTCAGGACTCGAACCCAGGACCACTTGGTTCCGAGTCTAGCACTCTGCCGCTACGCCACACGACCCCACTACTTTTGTTTATGCTGTTCGCGTGATACAGCCGTCGACACTGTTCGAAAACAGACTGAGCTTTAACCGCAACAGACGTAAACATTGGAGGGGCTTTACTCCTTTAAAGGAAGGCATAACACAGACCGAATGTGTGTAATGCCCTGTAAAGACCGGTTAACCTACGCCGGTGCATGATGACAGAGGTGACTGTTTTCGTGTCAGCGTTAACAGTATTTTTCACACACAGGAAGGAACAGTTAAGCTTGTTGAGGTGTAGGTTTGACGTTGGAATATATCTCTACGGGAAAAAAGGCATATTTTACTACTCTCCAAGCAGAGGTTTGGGTTTTGGGGGTATTTAGCGTGTTTTTAGGCTTTTTTTATCGGGGTTTCTCTTTTGCACTGAATTTTTTTCCCACCAAACCCAAAAAAATTCCGTGGAAAAAAAAATTCAGTGCAAACGAGAAACTCGCCTAAAAACACGCTAAAAATACCCCAAAACCCAAACCTCTGCCTGGAGAGTAATATTTTACCGCGTGAATAAACTACGCGTCTCTTTTCAACTGTATATATGTTACATTTTTTTAGATTATTCAAGTCTTTCTTATCTTGCACATTAGCAATTTTAGCGTTTTACATGGTGCTTCAAATCCTTGTTAAGTTTTATTCTGAGCCTATAGCTAATATAATAGATAATAGATGAATTTCGCGACAGCTTTCGTTTGTTTCTGTCTTTGGCGTTTAGTAATTTCGAAGGAATCTTTGTCATTTTGGCAAGCTAATTCTTTAAGACCAGTTCATCTATAGCCAGAATGGAAACAGTGTTGTTGTCACGTATTCTGTCTATCTCGAAGTACTAGTAAGGCCATACTGATTTGATTATATGGATGGCATTCTCTGGGAACCCCAAAACTGATGCGAGCGTGCGAATAAAAAGAATGTTTGGCAAAAAAAGTTTCGTTATGAAATCTAGGTGGTCATGAAGGTTAGACAAATGACTTAACACACAGAGTAATGTTTTATTGGCATGGTGAATAATAGACTCTTCATTTTCATTCCTTCACATTTTCTTCTTATCCTTTGGAATGAATTTTGGCATTCTGGGATATAAATATCGTTTTCCAATATTTTTTTCACTATACGGCATACATTTGCTCATTTTGCAGCTACTCTTTACGATTTACCGTATGGTCGAAAACTTTTTCTTTTTGGAAACAGACGAAATTCGCGGATGTCATCCATTTCATCAAGGCAACATGGCCTAAGGCCACAACAAGTAAATTCTATGGAGGAATCAGGGTACAAATGGTTTTGATTCAGTACGTGGGAACATCACATGTACACAGCCAGCATCACATATCACTGCATCAAAGAAAGAAACATTAAATCAGAGTTTTTTCTTGTCTCCTCTCTTTATAGTTATCTGCCATCCACCTTCCAGCATGACAACAGACACGTTTTCGACATGTTCACCACTGTCAGAAGGCAACAAATTTTTTTTTTCCAAAATCATTCGAAAATTAATGCGCTCCCTGATGTCATCCATAAAATTTACTTGCTGTGGCCTAAAGTAAAAACGAGACGTGCTGGCCGGTTCCGGCCTGGCGAAGGTCTCCAGATAATTTGAGCGGCATATCTCACATGTTTGACATGCACAACGCGCCGAACGTTCGGCGGACTGAAAACCAGATCTAGAGGCTTATGATACCGACAGGGGAGGGGGTCCAGAGGGTTACATGAGGTTATTATTTGGTCTTGAATCCTTGATTCTTTGACTTATGTTGTTTTTGAAAAGGTGGGACTTTACGTCTGCCATGGTTTACAAGAGAAGTCAAACCCTTCAGACATAGTTTTAGACATAGCTATAGTTTTAGACAATTACCTCGTGTTATTGTGTAGATTTTGAGGTTATTTTGTACCCAGTTTCAATGTTCTTTTATCTTCGTTATTTGCAATTAACCTTCGAGCAGGAATTTGCAATAAACTCTATTATTTTCTTTCTACAAGGTATTTTTTGTCAAAATCTCTATGTACAATATTTTATACGCATTCTATTTGTAGATCATATACATGTATCTTTCAACCTATTTAAAAGCAAGATCGCCCATAGAATTTTTGTTAAATTCGTTTCAAAATCAATTTTATCTGAGCACTCATCGTGAGTTTCTGTGAATAGACCATTGCGAATGTACATTTTCATGACTATTAAACGTAAAACAAAGGTCTCTACCTGGTAGTAGCATTTGTATTCGATAACCACAGTGAATTGTAAACGCCTGACCGTTTCCAAAATCATACCCAGTTGCTTGAGTAACTATTTTTTGGAATGAATTGTAAACTAACTTAAAATGAATCCGAAAAACACACAAATGTAAACATGCTCCCCTTTTTTGTTTATGAGGGAAAGACCATCGGTGTTCAGTGCCAAAATGGACGACAACAAACTACACACGTCCTTGATAGAGGGCAAATGCACGGGCGGCAACTTTTGAATATATAGAGCTTCCCAACTACAGAAAAAAAACTATAACTCAGCGAAGATCATCTTTAGTAATGCCACCGTTGTTCTTTCTTGTCAATCCTTTTAAAATTTGCTGAACCACCCACTGAGTCAACCTGGAGTCGTGGACAAACGGCACGTTTTAACGTCCATATGCTTCTGCCATCATACCCTAAGGTCACTGCAAATGGTATGGGCCCCCCTAAAAATATAACCACGGCATTCCAACGGCTGATCCATACGCCACAACCACTCGACGTGCGATATTCCTGGCCTGACTCTCAAAAATACCTTCATACTTTATGTCTTAGTTCAGATTTTAGCATTGAAATACGCGATCTAAGCATACACAATCCACTAACTTGACAAAAACGACACAGAAAGCAATATGTGATATGTCTTCACTCTCCTGTTATCTTTGGTACTTGACTTCTGTATCTGTATACCCGGTATAACCACCCATAGGAGTAGCACACCAGCTGTTTCTGTGACGTTGCTGTTATACAGCACGCATAGAAGATATTTCAACCATATTTACAATTTTTATACACTTTTGGTGGCTTTTTCTACGTATTTACACTGGCGACGACTCACTGTTCTTTCAGGTCAATAATTGTACCGTTCTTCCTGTGTATTTGCTTGTAAGTCAGCATGTGTCAGTTCATTTTTTCCTGATTCTTGATACATGTACTTTGCTTTTTTTTCACACTTTTGCACATCAACTGGAATATCGATTATGAATCGCTTCGTTTTTGTGTTGGCGCACTTACCTCAATTGTCATACTAGAACCTTTCTCTATGCTCTCATATCTTTTGTACATTCTCTGTCTCACTGCACTCATCAAAACGTCTTCGTGTTCACTCACATATCTTCGTCACATGTCATGAAGTCATCTTCTTCAGACGTACTCTTGCTCATCCCTTTGAAAAACATCCGTTTGAATTTTCTCTTTCCCTGTCTGGTCTGGTCGATTCTGTTCAGCTGCGGACTCTTCAACGTCACAGTCGTCTCGGAGGTGTACGAATGTTCTGCTATGTTTACTGATGACGTCGACGCGTCGTCCCAGCAGTCCGCCATGTCTGTTGTTGGAGTTGATGGCGGCGTATTCGTGTCCTCAGATTCAGCCATACTCGGCAACCGCGTGGGTTCGGAAACACACCTAGATTTTGTACCCCTGGGTAGCGAGGGACAGGGTGTGTCGATCTGACAAGTTTGGAAGTCGTCGTCGGATGCGTCCTCCGGCATTTCTTCGGGCCACGCGAATGCAGGAGCGGCGTCTGAGTCAACTGGGGAGGGCGTCTTGGCAAAGAACATGCGGGGAGGTGATGGAGTATGCCGGGGTACAAATGCCGGGCTCCTAGGAGGAGTCGGGCTTGCTTGTGCCTTGATGTCCGTTATCGAAGAACAATGACTTGGAGCAAGGCTAAGTCTGGGTGTTCTTGGTGGGGACTGTATTGCTATCGGTGTCCCTGGTTGTGACAGCCTTGGGCTCCTCGGAGGGGTTTGTATCGGTGTTCCCGGTAGTGATAATCTTGGGCTTCTTGGAGGCGATTGCACTGCAGCTGGAGTAGGTGGTCGTGCTATTCTTTTAGGTGAAACAGGTGGGCTTATTAACGTTACGTGGCTGGTACTTAGTCGTGCTGACTTCGGAACCGGGCTTAACTGGCTTGGCGTTGATGACGTTGTCCGCAACAGGCCCTCTTCTGCATCAACTGGTGGACATGTTGTGGCCAGAGAGTCCGTGCTGGCTGTTGCTTGATCTAACTTTTTCAAAGGTAGACGTGAGACGGTCGGGCTTGTCTGTGCCATCGGGACGTTGGTCGCGGTGTAGACGTCGTCGACAGGGATTTGTATAACGCACGGCGTTGTCTGTTTTCTTATCCTCGCGGAATCTGCCGAATGCCTCCTTTTCGTGATGTACGCGTTCGTAGCGATGTCGTCTTCGTCCTCAAACTCCGGAGCGATGTACGCTTTCCGGGCCCGCGTGCGCGGCGTGTCCGGCGCCTGGTTCCGCCTGGTGACCTGGTCAGTCACGACTATGGCGGGAGTAGCAGCATGTCTGGACGGAGGACTTCTCGATCGGACTAACAGGTCGTTGTACTCGTTATCCGTCACCGAGTCCGTGCGGGGAGACCGCAGCGGTTGAATGGTTGACTCCACCGCGTACGTCCCTCTACACGGGTCCCTTCCGACGACGTCTTGCCGCCGTAGGACTCGTCTTCTCTGCACGGGGCTGTGACCGATCACCGAGGATCTCGGCAACTTAGGACTAGCTGGAAACGATTGAGCTGGAGCCGTCTTCTCCAGTCTCTGTGCGTGCGTGTGTGCTAGTGAGGGAGGTCTTTTCATCTTCGGAGTGGTCGGACATGGCTGACGGGTCGGCGCTGGCGGAAGTGACGTATTGTGCGTGTCAAGTTGAACCGGATGTGGAGGTTGTGCTAGAAGAGGTGATCTTCTTGATGGCGAAGATTGCCGATTCCTCGCACCCGGGTTATCATCGTCTTTCTCGGCTTCTCCGTGCGCATCCGTGCCGACTGCTTCTGGCCGCGGTGGGGCCAGGAGGTTGGAGGAATGTCCAGCTGCAGAATCGACACAGTTCTCCTTATTCCCGTCAGCCGAGGCGTTCTCCTCGCGATCGGCGGCGTACATAGCTACGTCCTCCCGCTTGACCTTCCGCGACAGTTTCCGCTCGAGCCGCCTGACGATCGACGGTCTCCGATCGACGCGCTCGCCGTTGGCAAGAACCCGGGGTTTCCTCTTCAGCCACGAGGGTCTCCTCTCGGGTTCGTTAAAGTACTTACTTTTCAGGATCTCCTCCGGAGTTGGACGTGACCTTGGTGTCCAACTCAGCATCCTTTGAATAAGATCTTTTGCCAGAGGAGAAACAGAAAATGGCAGAGACATCTTTATCAGAAAGACCTTTGACTGTCGCTTTAACTGGTCAACCTGTCTCGTGCTGATGCCCTTTTCCTTCAGTACACTCTGTCCGATCAGTATTCTGTAGAGGATGCAGCCAAGTGCCCACACATCTGCTTTGAAACTGAAGCCATCGCCCGAGAGCACCTCGGGGGCGATGTAGGTCGGAGTCCCTCGTATTTTACACGACTTACCGTCGGCAAGGTTCGTGGCAATGCCGAAGTCGGCTATCTTAACCTCCATGTCTTCAGTCAGTAAGATATTTCTCGGTTTTAAGTCCCCGTGCACGATTTCCACGGCGTGTAGATAGCTGGTTCCCTCGACTATTTGGCGGAACCAAAACTTGGCCTCGCTGTCCCCCACCACAGGCTTCTCTTTCAACATGTCCTCCAATGATCTACTGCAGTACTCCATAACCAGATAGAAGTGTAAGGTGTCCTCGAAGAAGCTATGAAAGGCTATGACATTCTGGTGAGACAGAGAGCTGTGGATCTCGATCTCCTGCCATTGGGAGTTACAGCGGTAGCGGTCGTGGTGGGCCTCCTTTTTCCGGATGACTTTTATAGCGAGTTCCAAGTCCTCGGTATCGCTTACCTTGTAAACCGCCCCGTACCCTCCCTTCCCGAGCAAGTCGCACACTTTGTACTCCTCTCCTGTGTTCGGGTCGGTGAGAAATCTCGGGCGAGGGGCGGATCTCGGTAAGTGTACCTTGATAGACATGTTGGTTGGTCCCCTTCTCTCTCACTCTCTTCCGCTCTTCAGTTATATCTCTGGTCCTGCGTTGAAATCGTCATCAGGGGTTAAATATCCGCAGCCTGTACGCTTCGTATGGTGGCTGGCTATCAATAAACACTTACAGAAGCGGCCCCAAAATAGCAGCAGCTGGCCCCCTTGCGTCAGGCACGGCATACGCCAGACTTGGACCGTTGTTGACTTAGGCGTGCTTTGGCGGTGCCCTATATGTAGGAAAGTAAAACCAGGATGGTCGAACCGCTCACTCCAAGGGTTGGGGTTTCTTTGTACATTTTTTTTGTCAATCATCGAAGCATTATAAATAGCACTGCAGGTCTATAAATATACCTTCACAAGATGTACTATTTTCTACTTATCATGAAGATAGTGATGTATGAAGTTTTCATTCTTTTAAGGTAACCAAGGCTCTCGCCGTTCTATTCACATCCAAGTCTTTCGACTCGTCCGGGAAATGACGTAAACGACCGGGGCATCAGAGCTGATAGTTGGTCGATGCTTGATAATTGGTTCCAGGCGAAAGCTTAAAAATAGCCTTATCAGTACACTTTTAATCAAACTGACAGCGGGACTTTACCGTACGGTCTGGGGTCAAGCCCCTTTACTTTCCTTGACTTTAAGATCAGAAATGAGCTCCTAAATAACAAAGCGAGAACGTTGCAATTTTCTACAGTAACTGCTCATCATGGCCATTTCACAATGTTGCTATCCAGTATCATTGAGAGTGTAGAATTGAGCTAAATACCATATAAACAAAGCGAGAACGTTGAACTTTAAGAGACCGTATCAGAAAACTTGCTCATGATGATGTTACGGTAACATCATCATGAGCAAGTTTTCTACAGCCCATGATGATCATTTCACAATGTTGCTATTCAATATCATTGATAGCGTAGAATTGAGCCAAATATCATATAAACAAAGCGAGAACGTTGAACTTTAAGAGACCGTATTAGAAAACTTGCTCATGATGATGTTACCGTAACATCATCATGAGCAAGTTTTCTACAGCCCATCACCATCATTTCACAATGTTGCTATTCAGTATCATTGATAGCGTAGAGAGATGAACAAGATATTGCTGTAGTTTATATAACAATCCGAAACAGCAGCCGTGGCGACTCTTGACTGGGCTAATACTAATAGTATTTCATGAAATAAGCCCAAGTCAAGAGTCACCACGGCTATTATAAACTACCGAAACAGCAGCTTGAAATACTTCAAAATCATCCTCATATCGATTCTTTGACCTGGAATACAAGAGTCCTGAGCGGTACGAAACGAAGCTGTCACACTGATTCTAGGGTTGAAATATCCTGCACCAACAGAAGTCAACCCACGACGAATCAGGTCTAAGTTATTCTGATTGATGAAACGTACGAGTAGTTGTAGACTGGTGTCCAGTCTACCGTGGTTGGAGCATGTTCTCTTCGGGGCTGCAGAAGCTCTTCCCCGCCCGACTCAGCTAGGTTCCCCGGTAGCCTGCACAGCGTTAACGGGAGTTGGAGTTAGAGGTGGGGCTAATCAACTCTGGGCGTATCACATGCGTAAACTCTCCTACCGAGCGGCATGTTTAGCTGGACGGGGGAAAACTATTAGAGCCCCGAAGACAGCCTGCCCCGACCACGATAGACTGGATACCAGGCTACATGTATAGAATAGTGGCAAACTGCCAGCTGACAGTGTTATGTCTACCGGTACTTGTTCCGCCGCCTCTCCCAATATTGGCCTTCGGGATGACGCAAGTCCGCTCCTTGTGCACACAGGGCTGACGACCTCGCACCCTACCGAGGAATAGTCCTCGTTGTCCCCATACTACTGGAGCTTTATTAGAGCTCGTAACTTTTCTTTATGTCTTATATATGCTGGAGGCACAAAAAATAAGCCGGGGCCCGGCCAGGCTGTTCAAATGAACAAAAAAATGCATATCAAGAATATATACAAATCACGCATACTTATTTTTTTTTACCTTTTAAACGTTTTGTGAGTTTTGTTGTCTTTTCGTTCACACAAACTGCCCGGCCGGGCCCCGGCTTGGAATATGTTACCCTCACGTATATCGACCCAATGCTAAGGTCACATTTCCAAACCGGAGTCCGGCCGGGCTGTTTGCATGGCCGAGAAATAAACAATTCATATTCGAATCCTTACACAAATAGAGTCCATTCCGCGTCACCAAGTGGGTTGTTATTGTCATTATTTAGAAATGTTTTGAATTCTTTGTAATTGTTTGTCTAAGAAATTTCATAATTTGGAAATATTTTGAACATCTTGTCAATATTCTAAATAATTCCCTGGTTTTCTAAAACGTTTGAAATATTCCTGATGTGGAATATGACATTTCCAATAGTTTCTAAATATTTCTAACAGCACACCATTTTTTACCATTATTTCGAATTATTTCTAACATTTTGTAAATAGGTCAGTGGGATGGGAAGGAAGTAATTCACACATCCCTGTGAAGTACAGGGTAGACTGCCTGGGTGTCAGGCATTGATGCCTTACAACAAAAGAGCCACCAGTGTCCAGCAGTGAAATCTAAAAATATACAAAAGAATACAGAAGAGAAGGATTAGCACCTACTTTTATGGGGGCAATTACCCACATCTACCATTTTTCATTTGTTTGAAATAGTTCTAAATATTTCGAATAGTGAAAGAAACAAATGGGTAGTTCAAATTTATTCTAAATAAAGAGATCTTTGTACAGTCACTTTCAAAATGTTTCAGAAATATATAAATGAATTCAAATATATTCAAATTTTCATTTTCAAATTTTTGAAAAACTTAGAACTTTTGTTACTAGGGTATTCTTTTCTTCTAAATAATTCAAACGTATTAGAAACATGGAGAAAAAACCCACCCGGTGACGCGGAATCGACTCTAGTACTCATGTTTATTTTTTTCAACTTTGTTTTGTTGTCTTTTAAAATTATATCATATTTGTCGTTCTAAGAAACTGTGTAGCCGGGCCACAAGTTGGGAATTGTAACCCTAGCATCAGTTGATACAGTTGATACGTGCGAATGCCACTGTGAAAGAACAAATTTATTTACAAAAGGCTGACATTAATCCTTAACATTTGTGTTGCATATTTTCTCGTCATGTATTTGATAGAATGGTATAGCACCCGTGTAAAAAAGCAAAAATAAACATGACAGTTTTTTTAAGCTTTGTCGCCCTTTTGATTTTCTTTATTATTGACACAGAATTTGTACATATTGTTACGGCATAGCTGTGAGTATAGTAAAGGCTTGTGACCGGACACGAGGCACATTGTTGATACTAATGTTAGCCATTGCACTGCGATGAGGCCATGGTCCCATTCTAACAATGTTTGAGAACATTTATATATAGTATTTATCCTCTAGAGTAACAGCATTACTCTGGTTTCCGTTTCACAGATAATCCCCGATCTAAATCTGACAGCCTGTCTACACTAATATAGATATCGTAAAGCTGAAATGTACCTATGCCATAGTTCAGCTGATACAAACGAAGCCACACTCTACATGCTCTAGATCTTGTGTTAGGCCACATCAAGTAAATTTTATGGATGGCACCCTCCGCAGACTCCAAATCTAATGCGGTAGGGCGAAAAAAAAACAAGGCGGGCCAAAAAACAAGATTCCTACAGTTTCAAATTTTGAAGTATTGTGCTAAGTTTACTGCCAACTACAACACCCATTTCTCACTGAAACAACTTAAAAACAAGAAGCCATAGGTGACAATTCTCCGTGAAGTATTATATATTGCAACAAAAAGAAGTAGCCATTGGCGACAATTCTCTGTGAAGTGTGATAAATCGAACAAAGAAAAAGTGTTTAAACGCGCGTCGGCTCAGTCATCTTAAGACGCAACAACCAATCAGAGATGCGAAATGCCGACACGTGACGCCGTATTGCATACAGTCTAAACAACGGGGAAGGGCGCGCGATGCCCGAAATATTTTTGCGTCAATATTCAGCGCCGTGTTTCAAGAAATTAATACCGGGAAACAATTCCTTGTCTTGTTTTGAACGCATAAACCTGCATTTACGCTAATGTAGTATGATTCAGGGTTACTTTTTTACCTCCATGAAAAATGGAGGTATTGTTTTTGGCGTGTCTGTCTGTATGTATGTATGTATGTCTGTGTGTGTGTCTGTGTGTGTCTGTCTGTCTGTGTTTCCGCAACTTTGTGGTCAGCATAACTTCAGAACGCCTTTATGGATTATGATGATATTTGGTATGTTGGTTAGTCTTAGGAAGACAAACGTCAAGGTCAAATATGGGCCTCCTGGTGGATGACCTTGGTACTGCAGCAGAACTTCCGGTTTTTGTATCTTTTGTCCTGAACATGCTATGGTCTTGATGTTTTGGTGACAGATTGCTTTTCCTGTCAGGAATAAGTGGTGTGAGTTTGGTCCCCCTAGCAGCTTGTTTTGGAACTGCAGGGCACTTTCTGGCGAAATGTTTAAAAGCCAATAAGTCCAGATAGGAACAACATATTTTCATAATTTTTTGTGTGTAGGTAGCTGAGAGAGATGTACATGATTAAATGCAAATTATGCAAATGAGGACTTTATTTGCATAATTAATGAGGAAATTCTATGATTACAGTGTTTTACATTAAGGTTCCGGGTCGGAGTTTAATTCTGACCAGAGTCTAAGTAAGTGCGCAGTAAATCGCCGGAAACGTGACTTTGTATGGTATGTTTTGGCCGCGATATCCCTGAAATCGTAATATCTGTGTACATATCTTTGTATTTTCTGAAAAGCCTGTTAGTTGTAGCCTATATAGGTGGCGTAATGTTGGTGGTCCAGCTAAAACTTCCTGGTATTCGTCCGCGCGGATGGTTATGTGGCCTTTTCGCCTGACCGCCGGGATGGTACGTTCTATATGCGTTCTGGGTGTGTTCGGGCCATCGAAGATAGCGATAAACTTATCGCATCGATTTTAATTAAATTCAAATTTTGGAAACATTAGGTTCTGAGCTTCTTCGAGTACTAAGCCGTTACCCTGGGAAAATTCGTTTTTTCCATGCAGCCATGGTTAAAAATGACGAAAAAATGACCCCTTTTTTTCAAAATGTACTTTGATGTGCCTCATTTATCCCTAAATAAATTGGGCGCAGAAAATATCAATCAAGTGTATTGATAAGCGGCACGGCACCCCTTTCCACCAAAAGAGTGAAAAATTCCGACCCGCATTTAGTACAGAAATGACAGCCCGTCGGGCTGAGGGTGTCAAATTGCTCGAAATACGGAGGGAAACTCCGGTCCGAGACCTTATACTACTTTCATACATGTAATGTATGTAACCTATGGCAGGCAGAACATCAACAGATACTAATTATGCAAATGATGACCTAATTTGCATAATTTATGCAAAAATTATTTGATTTCTTAATGATGAATAATGGGAATGTCATACTTGGGACATCTGCTGTAAGTTAATCAAAAGTTAACATACATCACGATGCATATATCATGTTAATGCGGAGGTAATTTGCATAATTAAAGAGGAAATTTACATTTACATATCAAGCCCATATTTCATGGAGGTATGAAATCTCGGAATTCTTGTTTTTTATCTGCCATGGCCAGATTATCTAAAGATGTGTGTATTGTGTGTACAATATACAGAAAGAGAAATGTACATCAGGTCCGATCATCCGATTTTCACGTTTCGGTTTTTTTGGACTCGGTTCATGAACGTATTTTGGTTTGGCTCCTGGAATGTGCTCCCGGGACTGTCTACAGGGAACACTCGCACATTCGCGGTGTATCAGGACAGCGCGACTGGTCGGCATTAGCGCAGTCCCTGCAATTAGTAACAGTTGCACATCAATCCGGCCGAAAGCATGATTGTGTAACACAGGCTACTTCTTCATATACCGGCTCATACTACAAGACGCCTTTACAACTAGCAAATCATAAAATTACCCGATCTACTAGTATGTGCGGTTTACCAGCCCCAGACCACATCCGACCACGAGGCAGAATACATTGATGGGTTGCTCAAAAATATTGTCCATGTTTACAAAGAAGCGGCCAGCATGCTCGTTGCTAGG